GCCCCAGCCCCGAGGAGGACCCTGGTGACGCAGCAGCGCATTCGACACAAGCCCTGCCCTCAAGGAGACGGGGTCCAGGAGCATTTATTGAGCACCACTGCATTCGCCTGGGACAGCCGAAGGAGCGTGACTTCCAGTCTATGCTCCGCCAAAGTCTGCGCTGAAACCATCCCTGAGCCACGCACACCGTCCAGGCCGCAGCTCTGCTGTGCCAGCTGTGTGTCCTGGGGACGGGGCCCAGCTGTGTGTCCTGGGGACGGGGCCCAGCTGTGCAGGTGCCACTTTCTCACCCGTGAAGTGGGGGTGACGAGACAGCTCTCCTGACGTGCTGACGCAGCCACTCACTCAGGCAGCGAGCAGCCCTGCTCAGGGTGGGGGTGGGGACGGGGACTTCCAAACACCCAGGAGGGTCCGGCTGGCTCCCTCCTTGTCAACGAACTCGCCCTGTCTGTTTCTGTCTCAAGCTGTGAAAAGTAACTAATTTTATGAAACTTGTTCGTGAATAGCAGGGTTAGCATTATCTGACTGTGTCTAGTAATAAAGTATCATTGTGGATGATTTAGAAAGTAGCAAAGCATAAGGGGGGGGCGGGGGGGGAACTGGGTTGCAGGTCGCCCCCGCGCAGGTTAAAGGGAGGCCCTGAACGGGGCACGTCCCCATCCTGACCCGCAGAGTCCTGTGAACGCAGCGTCACTTCAGGACCTCGACACCACCCTGCCCTGCACTATCGGGGAGGCCCCTACGTAACAGTGTAACAGTGAGTGTCCGAGTGAGACGCACAGAGGAGGGGGAGGGGCAGGGGGAGAGGGGGAGGGGGAGGAGGCTTCCCGAAGATGGAGGCGGAGCCTGGGCACCATGCAGCCACCGCCCCCGCAATGTCTGGGGCCACCAGGAGCTGGGAGAGGTGGGAAGAACCCCCCCTGGGACCTCCGGAGGGGTGGCCATGTGGACGCCTTGGGCTCAGACTTCTGGCCTCCCAGATGCTGAGAGGACCAGTTTCTGTTGCTCTGGTTGCTGCGATCACGGTGATTTGTCTCTGCAGCCAAGGGTGGGGGGGGGCGGCGAACACTGGCCCCAGTCCCCATGGGCGAGCCGGTCCTCACTCACGCCGGGGCTGCTGTTCTCCCTCGGGTCTGCGAGGGGGCCGGGGGTGGGGGAGGGATTGAGTGTGAGTGTGAGTGTGGTGTGTGGAGGTGTGATTGAGTGTGTGACAGTGTGTGTGATAGGGTGTGCATGGGCTTGAGTGGGGTGTGAGAGTGTCAGTGGGGTGAGAGTGGCTGTGTGTCAGTGTGTGAGTGGGTGTGAATGTCTTTTTCATTCACTGGGCCTCCCCGTGTAACCTCTGCAACTTCTTCCAAACCAGGGGTTGTTTTAAAACGGGAGGTGAAAAAGCGTCGTTCCAGGAAAACAGAAGCCACGCCAGGCATTGGGGACAGGCGATGGCCCCTCGCCCGGCTCCCACGGAGACGGACAGTGAGGATGCAGGGGTGGTCCCGCCCCTGGTGGACCCTCCAGCTGCCCTCAGGCCCACCCGGCCCCTGGAGTTCCAGCTGGACTCTCAGCCCGGCCACAGGCACGTGGCAAGTGCCACGTCTTGCCACCGGTTTTCTGACTCTGAAAAGCGGTTCTGTTCCCCAGCTGCAGGGGAACAGACCAAGGCCTCAGGCCACGGTCACATAAATAAATCGTTAACAAGATAAGCAAAGTGTCAACACACACTCAAGTGACGAGGAGGCAGCAGTGAGAGCACCAGCCCCCCCCCAGACCGTGTCCAGGCTCCCACTCCAGCCTGACCACCCCAGGGTGCCTGTGGATGACACGCCGCCCTGGGTGCGGGTCGGGGCAGCCGGCCGCCACCGGAGAAGCCTGGCTCTGCCCTCCCGGGCCTCCGCCATGCTGCGTCCTGGAAACGCGAGGCCCGGCCCAGCACCCGTGCGGTGGTCCGGAGCAGAAAGTGGAGAACGTGCGTTTGTCCAGCACGCAGCCTGGCCAAGTCCTCCACGGCAGGAAGTCCAACAGCTTGCAGCTCGGCCTGTCCTCAGCGGAAATTATACACAACAGTAACTCACAGCAAAAAAAAAAGGCCCCGGGAAGGGGCGCCTAAGGGGTATCTTGGAAGAGGACGCCCTGCTCAGGGTTCGGAGCGGAAATCTCCGAATCTCCCTCCGTGTGGGCGCCAAGCCCTTCCCTGACCTGCCAGGTTACACCCGCCCAGGGGTCCCAGGGAGGCAGGGACCCCGCCCGGTCCCCAGCCCCGGAGGACCGCCTTTGGGGCTGTCCTCACGTACGACGTCCCCGAGGTTGCCCCGCTCTGTATACCCGTGTGGGGCCCCTCCTCCCTGCTCTCCCCTGGTCTCACCCTGTCCCCCCGTCTCTCACGCACCCTGCTTTGCAGTCTTTGTGTACCGGGTCCCTCGGTCCTTCCCTCTCTGGTATCTGTTCATTGGGGACATCCCTCCCCACCCCGGCTCATGAGACACTCTCACTTTTTGTGTGTTAGAAATTCACATGGTGTCTGCTTTTCCATACTGTGTGTTTTCATCTGAGAGCAAGGGCACTTTGAGGAGGTCCTGAGGCAGGGACCCCAATTCCCACGGGGCGGCCAAGCGCCCTGCACGGGCAGCATGAGGGGTCCCGCCTCGGCTCATTCAGTCCGAGGCTGCCTGGCGTTTCCTGGGCAGGGCTATCGGTCCCTGTCCCAGCGCTATTCGGTATTCATGAAATAACTTTATATTAAACCATCGGGCCTGGCAGGGCAAAGGCCGCGCCCCAACTCTTCCTCTTGTAACCCAGCGCAGGGTCGGCTGCACCCCGCTTCGCAAAGCCACTCCCGGAGACACAGGTACTGATGTAAAGGAAGTGGCATATTCAGGTGCTGGCCGCCTGGAAGGTGAGGGACTCTCGTGGCAAAGCCCACCTTCCCCTCTCAGGGCAGGCAGGGGCTTTTGAAGGAGGGGGAGGGAAGGCAGAACAAAGCCCTGGGCAGGGGCTGTGGGCCTGCGTCCTGGGCCTGTGACTTCAGCACCTGGCACCAGCAGGCACCACCACCTCACTCAGCCGGGCGAGCGTGTCGCCCGGAGTCCTGGTCACAGCGGTTTCTAGTAGGAGCAGGAACTGGAACGCGACCCCACGGGGACACAGGAGCTGCCCGGGAGCGGGGGCTTTCAGTGGCGGGCTGGTGCATCGCCTGCCTGGTGCATCGCCTGCCGAGTCCACGGCCCGGGAAGCGGAGCGGTGCGGAGTGGTTGCTCTGTTCCGCTCGCCTCCGGAGCAGCTGTTCCCAGGGCTCCTCCGGCCACATAAATCCTAGAAGGTTTATGAAGTTTTACATAAACCCTGTGGGATGTTGTTTTGGAATTGCCCGGAAGCCGTACGTCAACTTGAAGAGAACCGACATCTCTACTTACCACAGTGAGTTTTGGTACCCACGAGCACAGTAAATACTTGGTTAGATTTATTTCGGGGTATCTCAAATTCTTTGTGACACTCCACATTGTGTGAGCTTCAGAGCAGCCGTCCCAGCCACTCGCCGAGGGGCCCGCGCGTGCTCACCCTGCCCGGGGACCTCGGTCGGTCCGTGTGCCCCGAGCCTGCGCCTCTCTGGGGTTCTCCACGTAAACAGTCGTTTTGCCTGTGAGTAACGTCCACTTGTCTCTGTGACACTTCAAGTCTGTTTTTTTTTTCTTGGTTTGCTGCATTTTTTGGGACTTGACCTACAGGGTGACGTCGCCTAGAAGCATGGAAGCCACTGGCCTCGGCCCGGAACCCGGGAGCAGATGGCTCCTGCCGTCCCAGTGTGTGGTGTGGTGGGCTGTGCCCGCTGCCCAGTATCCGTCCCATGCAGTGGGGACAAAAGGCCACGGAGGACTGGTCCCGAGTGCATCCGGCCGGCACACAGGGCTCTGGGGGTTCTCCTGATCTGCCCCATGTGCTGGCTGGAGACTGGGGTGAGGCTCGAAGGGCTGTCCCCCACGGGCCAGGCAGAGGTGAGGAGGGGAGGGCCCCCTTCCTTGCCCCCCCAGCTTCCCCGGCCCTGGCAGGGCCCCTGGGGTGTGTCCCGAAAAGCAGACGTGATGTTGTTGGGACCGGGTCAGGGCCCGGCCAACTTCACACTTGGCCCGTGTTGGGAACGGGCGTGCCTGCTCAGCTGGGTCGGGACACCCGCAGTGTGCGGGGTCATGACCCCACTCCTTGGGTCCTCCCTTCCAGCCTGTGGTCCTCTGGAAGCCCAGGCAGGGCCAGCGCAGGGTGGGAGGGGGCTGGTGGGGTGGAAGGTGAGCAGAGAGCAGAGTCCCTGTCCTGCCAGGAAACTGCCCCCTCGGCTGCCCCCGATGCCCTCTGGGGCAGGGCCCTGCACTGAGCCTGAGACAGCTGGCCTCCCTCGATTCTTCTGGGAACCCAGCTCTGCCCTCCCTCAGCCTCACAGCCCCCCAAATTGGTAGGTTCCCAGAGAGGTTCCCTCAGCCTGCAGACGAGCCCATGCTGTTTGTTCTGGGAGGGACGCCCCTGTTTCCCGGAGACACCCCAGGCCTTGTATTCCCTCTTTCTGGGGCGCCTGCAAACCCAGCCCAGAGGCCGGGGTTGTGAAATCGTTTCTGGTTCTGGCTGGGCGGTGAAGGCTAGCTTCAGGAGCACAGCGGTGGGTGGACAAGGGCCAGGCTTGCAGCCCCCAATGGTGGCCCCTGGGGGCCAGCCCAGAGCCCCTCCGGCCCGGGGCCCTGGCCTGCTGGGGGCAAGGACCCCTGGGCTCAGCGGAGGCCCCTCAATGGAGCTGGAGGGTGGCCAGGAGCCTGTGGCGGGAGGCCTGGCCCTCCGCCCTCCTCAGCATCGGGAGTTCAAGTTCAACCTCGTGCACTTGTGCGTGGAGCCCGAGGCGAGGGCAGGCGGGGGAGGCGGGGGGCCTGTCGGGGTGAGCCTCCAGGTGGGGCTCCGGGCTGCAGGGACACCTGGGCTAAGCCTAGGTGCTTGTTACCTGTGCTTTGTAACAAAGGGTCCCACACTTAACAGCTGAAAACAACACCATTTATTATCTCAGTGTTTGTGGATCCGGAGTCGGGGCCCCACTCTCTGCTCAGAGTCTCCGCAGGCTGCGACTGAGGGACTGCTGGGGCTGTGATGACCCCCGAGAGTCAGGCCTCCTGGTGGCTGGCAGATTCCATCCCTGCTGCTGCAGGACTGAGGCCCACGTGGTGTTGGGAGCCGCTGGCCACACTGCTCAGCCTCTTGCTCGGGGCGCCCCCCATAGGAAGCTCGTCCCGTGGCTGTGGGCCTCTTGGAGGCCGTGGGAGAAGGTCTGTGGCCGCACCGCTCTCCCAGCTGGGAAGCCTGGCCCCTCCTAAAGGGTTCACCTGACCAGGTCAGGCCCACCTGGATGGCATCTCGTTTAAGTAACAGGCAACTGGTGAGAGACTTCACTCCCTCCTGCAAACGCTCTCCCTCCCCACGTGCGGGAACCCAGACGTTCCCTCCCACCCACGCTCCAGGGAGGGTTATAAAGAGCCCGGGTAGCGTCCTGCCTTCCGCCTGGGTCGGAACGCGCCAGTGTTTTTATTCCTGCCTTCGCAGCAGCCCCGTGAGTTTAACCACCCTGGGGGCAACGGCCAGGCGCTCCTCTTCTTAATAGCCTGGCAGGGACCGCTACCCTGCTATAGGCCCAGAAATCCAGGTGCCCAGAGGGCAGGCCCCTGCCACAGGAAGGACGCCTTCTGCGGGGCCCCAGGCCACACTGCCAGAGAGGCACAGCCTGGCCTGGCCGGGACCCACCCACCCCACTGCGGACATGTCCTGCGCCCAACAGTCCCCCGCCTGGGCCCAGGGCACTAGCAACCACTACCACAATGTCCCCAGATGCCACTGGGGTCCTGGACGGTGCCGCCTGGAGCCCTGGGGGCCCCCTGACGCCCCGCCCTGCACTCTCGCAGGGTCACTTAGATGCACCTCTCTGTCCATGTGGGACACCCTCTGTGGCCACTTGAACTCCTCCACCGATGGGGAGCTCACTTCTCCCAGAGGCGTTCCCACCTCCCGTCTCCCAGGAAGCCCACCAGTGGGGGGATCGGGGAGAGAAACCCCCTCTCCACAGAGAGGAACGTCCACCTCCTCACACCCCCATAGTGATAATAACAGCCAGTGATTCTGTGTGTCCTGGGGATAGTCACACTCCCTCTCTGAGCTATGGTCTCCTTATCCAATCCAGAAGCCGCCTTGGGTTGGCTCACACTGGCCCCGTGGATGATGTCGGAGCAGAGACGGAGGGTGCAGACAGCCAGACTGCATGGCGCTCCAGTGCCCCTCGGTCAGGAGCAGCGTGACTCCAGGCCGGGTGCTTCCCTGCTGCTGGGGGAGGTGGGTGGCAGAGCTTCCCCAGACCCCCCCCCCGCAATGAGTGTGATTTTGTGCCATCTTAGGGGCTCCCCCGGGAGTTCTCCACAGGGGCCCCAGTGCCCTGGCCTGCAGTCGTTGATGAGTTTGCACGCAGTAGGTGTGCAGTGAGCCAGTATGGGAAGGTGACTGAGTTAAGACACTGGCACCTTCTCCTAAAACCTGCCCGGTAACCCCCGGTGGGGCTCTGGATTTGGTGCCCATAGGGCACGGGGCTGAGTGCCGACTCAGTGCCAGGCATGTGCCCCCCTCACGGCCACTCTGCTGAAAAGAGGGCTCTGGGGCTGCTGCCCGGGGTCCTGACCTTGGGGGCCTGGGCCCAGCCCATCAAGCCCCGGCCTCTACCTGCCCACCCCTCACCTCAGCCACAGACGGGGGGCTGGCTGCCCAATGTCTCGAGGTCTCTCTGTGCCCAGCACACAGTCTCTCTTCATCCTCAGAGCCTGGAGGTGCGGTTTGTCTTTGGTGACAGACAGGTTACCAAAGAAGAGACCGAGGGGTCTAAGTGGTTAAGCTACTCGGCCAGAGGAAGGCAGCCCTGGGTCTCGTGCTCTGTAGCCGCGTTTGCCCGCGCCCTTTCCACAGAAATAAGTATCATTCTAGGAACCAGGCCGCGATTAGCTGGGATCTATGCCGAGCCGAGCCAAGCCGGCTGCTGAGGTCCTCGCTTCAACCCGGTGCAGGGTCTGCCCGCCTCCTGTCAGCGTCACCAGCTGGCACTGGGAGAAATAAACTCTGTCCCCACCGATCCCACCACCTGCAAGTGGGGGGCTGGAATCTGACCCCGGGGTGTGGACGACTGAGCCTCCCCCCTGGACCTCCAGGACGGCACTGGGGGCCCGGGAGGCCAGTGCCTGAAGTGCACTGGGGGCTGTGGCCAGATGGGGAGGGTGCGGGTGCCGAGGCCACGCTGTCCGAGGCGGGTGGTCTATGGGTGACCTGCTGCGGGTCCCACCCCACCCGAGTGGCTGCAGGCCCAGGACTGGGGTGCTGGCTGGCCGGTCGCAGGCCTCAGGGATCTGTGTCCCCGGGGCTACTGTGACAGGCGCTTCCTCAGGCCTCCTGTTGTCCACTGCAGTGTGGCCTCCTCCCCACTTTCAGCCCAGCCATGGAGAAGGCGGACTGGGGTCAGGGTTAGCTTTGTCAGCAACTCTGCAGGGACGGGCTCCTTCCCCTGGGTGTGGGTTCTGGAAAGCTCTCTGCTGCCCCCTGGTGGGAGGCCTTCAGCTCTGGGCCGGGTTCTGGGGCTCCAGGTACCCCAGGACCAGAGGAGTAACGATGGATCTCCCCTGCTCCCTGCCACTGGGCCCCTGGGCTCCACCACCTGTCCCGGGTGCACACCCAGACCCAGGACGAAACCAGCACTCGGCCCACACCAGTGAGCCCCCTCCCGGCCTTGGTCTCCCCTTTTGTGAACAGAGGCTCTGGGGAGAGGGGATGAGAAGTAACTGCTTCCTGGGTGCAGGCTTCCTTGGGATGAGGCCCGTGTCACACAGGGGTGGTGGCCGCTCAGCATCACGAATCGGAACAGTGCCACTGAGCCTGTCACTTGAAGAGGTTGGTTTTATGTTGTGTCAATTCCGCCTCATTCACAAAATAAGTTAAGAACAGAAGCGCCCTGTGGGCGACAAGGACCTGGACACGCCCCCCTGGGCCTGGGGCTCCCTGTCTGGAAGTTGGAGGAGGATTTCAGTGAGGATGCTGGGGTTCTCACCCTGGGCTGGTGGGAGCAGGCGGGTGGGGCCGGGGTGGGCGGCAGGCCTCCAGCCTTCCTCCAGGCAGGCGGACCCTGACGTGCTAACCTGCTCACCGCGCTGATCTCTGGGGCTTGGTGCCAACCGTTGTGCCGTGTGCCCGTGGGCGAGGCACCTGCCCTCTCTGGCCCTCTGTTTTCTCAGCTGTAAAAGGGGCCCACAACGGCCCCAACCTCACAGGGACACCTGGAGGTGAAAGGCAGAGCGCAGTGAGGGCTCTGGGAAGGGAGGGGGAGAGTGACTTGCCCAAGGCCACACCCTGAGTGGCTGCCGTTGGACCTGGCCTGGGTGCCTTGGACTCATGGCCCCCCACTTATACCTGAGGGCAGGGCGCAGCAGCAGCGTGGCCCCCTGGACAGGGCCTGGCCCTGGGCGCTGCCTGCGGACTCGAGGAGCTGACTGCAAGAACGTTTAGTGCTGCTCGGCCCCCCCACCTTGTTTCCCAGAAAATGAGCCACCAGGCCCCACTCCCAGAGGACGGGCCCTCAGGGCGGGTGGCCGGAGGCCAGCCAGGGTGCCCGCCCCCAGCGGTGCTGGGGGGCCAGGTTGACCCTGCGGATGTTGAGCTCAGAGGCGAAGGCCCGGGCCTTCTGGTAGAAGAAGAGAGACTTCTCTCGGTCCAGCAGGAAGTTGTGGTAGATGGTGGCCAGGCGTGTGTAGATTTTCATCTGGGCCTTCTTGTGGCCCAGGTCCACGGCCGCCGCCAGCGCCAGCTGGTAGTACCCGGCTGCGTCGAACGGGTCCTGAGGGGCGGACGTGACATTTAGCAGGGACTGCACGTGAACTGACCCTGTGTCTGAGTAGGGGGCGGGGCGAGCTGCTCCCACGCCCCCCTCGGCATCTCCACCCACACTAGTCACCACACACTGGCTGCAGCCTGCTGCAGGCAGGACCCCTGCGAGGCCAGAGGCGAAGGTGCCCCTGGTGGTGTTCTGGGAGGAGCCCACCTGCTCCAGAGTGGCTGCCTGATGTCTGGGGGCGCACCCGAACATCTGCGTGGGCCTGGTCACCCCGAGTCCCTCCCGACCCCCTACCCAGAGCCTGCTCTGGTTCCCCCTTCCCTCCCTGGAGCCAGGGCCTCTCACCCTGTAGTCCGCTCCCCTAGCTCCTCCAGCCGCTGTCTTATCCACGCAGCCCAGGCTGCCCCCTCCACCCGGAGACCCATGTGGCTTCCTCCTGGGCTTCTGCCATGAGGTGGGGCCTGGCTGCAGTTCCCAGAGCCCCCCACAGGGCCCACCCCAGCCCAGGGCCATCATGGCTCCTGTCCCTCCAGCCGGTGTCTGCACTCAGGCCAGCACAGCCGGGCCCCTCCAGACACACAGCCCTGCAGTGTCACCTCTGGAAGCTCTCCGAGTGATTTTGATGGGGCGGGACCACCCCCGGACCCCCACTCCTATTTCAGAGGCATCTTTGTCTCCATCCCAAGGTCCCAAGTCAGGATACCCCCCCATTCCTGTCTCCAACCGCAGCCTGGAAGTCTCAGAGTTGGGGTCGCACAGAGCTCAGCTGCAGTGGGGACTCCCACTGTCCACAGGGCCCCCAGAACCGCCTGGCTCCAGCACAGCCGGAGGCCGCAGTGACCACTCCTGACCAGCAGGTGTCGCTAGCACACAGCCAAGGCGACCAGCTCTGATGTGCCTGCCTGGACTGGTGTCCCTGCCTGGAACCCCGAGGCAAGTCACCGCCAAGATTCCTCCTGTGAAGTGGGATGATTGTAGCCACCCTCCCCAGGCGATGGGAGGATTCAGCGTGGCAGGAGATCCCAAGAAGAGCTCTGCACAGACTGGCAGGCTTCCTCGAAGAGGTGCCAGGCTTTGGGTTAGATCTTGCATCATAGAAATAATGGTGAGACCCCCCCCCCCCTCCCTGGAGGTCCTTTTCCTCTCCCACATGTCTGTGGCTAACTCCTGTTCGATTGTCCAGACTCAGCACTGTGTCACCTCCTCCGGGAGGCCCCCCCGGTTATACTTCCTTTCGTCCTTTACCCAGTGGCTGCTGCCCTCTGTTCCCATGTCAGCCTCCTCCACTGACCCTGAGCTCTAAAGGGCAGGGCCTGGCCCTGCTGGGAGCTCGGACAGTCTGCTGACCACACCGGCTCCCCACAGCCAGGCCCGGCGCCCCTGGGGCCTGGGACTCACCGGACAGAAGACCTGGACCCAGGCCTCTGGCACTGAGTGGAGATCCCACCTGAGGCAGGAGATGGTTCCCTGTTCCCTGATTGCCGGAGCCCCGCGCCCCTCCCCGCACTCACCTTCAGCTGGTAGAAGGTGATGTCTCCGAGCGCCAGGTACACTCGGATGTAGTACAGCGTCTCCTCGTCGAACTCCAGCGGCGAGCGGCAGAGCGAGAGCGCCTTGAGGTAGAAGTGCTCGGCCAGCTCGCCGTGGCCCAGCCGGTGGTGCAGGGTGGCCAGCCGGTGGTAGGCCACCCGCTCATTCAGACCGTCCCCTGGAGATGCAGGAAAGGGCCACACGTGAGGACACGCTGCACAGGCGGCAGGGCCGCAGGCCCGTCAGGAGTCTCACTCTTCCCGTCCGTGAGGGGGGCCCAGTAATGCCTGTCCCCTGCCTGCTGCAGGGCATGGTAACATTGAGAACTTGGAGGCTCCGCCTCCAGGCCTGCATGGGGTGCTTTGGTTGCTGTTTTGGACTAGGAGACCCCAAAAGCCATTCAGTCTGAACCTGCCAGTGCCAGGGCTCTGGTCCACCTCAGATGTGACATCTGACCCTCCTGGTGTATCAGCTGCAGCCCCGCCCCATCCTTGGGAAGTCATCAGACCAGCTGCGCCCACCTCCCCTTCCAGGTGGGTACTTTGGGGCCTGCGTGCAAACCCTGCTTCACACCCTCTGTGCGCCCGGCCCTCTCAGTACAGTCAGGTACCGGGATGGAGGGACGCTCAGCACCGAGGGGCTGGCTTCTGGAAAGGGGACTGGGACTGTGCCAGCCAGAGGACAGCAAGGGCTGCCCCCTGCGGGGAAGGGCCAGAACATGCCCTGGCAGGCTCAGGGCTGCTGAGAAGCCTGGAGTGTCTGGGATGTAGGGCACAGTGGCTGGTCTCCCGGTTGGCGAGGGGAGGGATGAGGAGCCACTGAGCTGGTCACATCCAGCCACACAGGGAACAGGCCCTGGCAGGGGCTGGGAGGCAGGCTGCAGCTCCTCTCTGCCCACTCACACGGAGAGGGCAGCCCATGGATGGATGGATGGCCAGTCCCACCCTGCCTCCCATTCACCTCCAGCTCCGGCCCTCCTGATCTCTGATGTGGAGGCTGGGCCCAGGGGCACGGGGCTCACCCAGGGAGATGCTGAGAGCCAGGGCCACGTGGGCGAACTCCAGGCCCTCCTGCGCCATCCCCAGTTCCGCCAGCAGTGCCACCAGCTTGTTGCACAGCCGAAGCTCTGCCTCCTGGTTCCCTGTGGTCACAGCTAGTGGCAGCGCCCGGTCCTGTCCACACAGGCAGGGAGGTCAGGCCACCTCTTACAGTGGCCAGCCCACACCCAAGACCCTCAGAGCCCCAAACAGAGTGCTGGGAGCTGCCCACCCTCACCGTCCCACTGTCCCCTGATGGAAAGGTCAGCTCAGAGAGGTCCTGACACCCACAGGGCCATGAGTAAGTGGGGTGTGGCCGGCAGGACACCTGTCTACACTGCCTCGCTCAGACCAGCCGCTCTGCTCCTGGGCAGTGAGGGCCTGATCGGGGGTCCAACACCCTCTGTGCTCTGCAAACGCCACGTCTATCTGGACCCCAGGGCTGAGCCGCCTGCCAGGAGCTGGACAGACGGGAGGGGAGAAGCCGCCCTCCCTAGGGGCCCGTGCAGACTGGGCCCTGGTCCCCATCCTCCTGCTGTTGTGCTCTGTCCTTTGGCATACCCCCCTGCTTCTCGGAGCCTCAGCTTCCTCATCTGTAAAGCAGGGATGGGCTGACACCCCGGGGTCATTGGAAGTGACTGGGGTGTGCACTGCAAGCCTGTGTCTGCCTGTGGCCCTCACGGCCCTTCCTTCCCGTCCCTGTGGGTGGGAGCCAGGGGGTCATGACCCTCCCAGACAGCGCTGCCTCCTGGGAGGCACTGCCCTGCAGTACCTGTGCCTCGGCCCACCCAGGATGCCCACTGGGCCTCCCCCCGCCCCCGTACCGCCCCCAGGCCCCTCACCCTGTAGAAGGAAACGGCTTTCTCTCGCTCCCAGGTCCCGTTGAAGAAGATGTCTCCAGCTGCCTCAAATAGCTCCAGCCCCAGGTTGGGGTCCCCCGTGTACAGGGCCGCATCCTGAGCGACCTGTGGGGATGCGGCGCCTCTCGTGAGACCCCCAGGGCGCCAGCAGGGCGGGGGCCCGCCCACCTCATGGGGACCTGGCAGCCACTCCTGGCCACCCTGGAGCACTTGTGCGTTGGGGGCCTTGTCCCTCACACCTTTCAGGAGTGACTAGTCCTGTGCACCTCGGGCTCATCGTCACCCAGTGGTGTGAGGGTGAGCCGTTCAGCCCTGTGTTCCCGGAGGAGGCTTGTCCTGGTACGGGCCCAGAGCCGGCAGGCATGGAGCCTGGTGCAGGGCTCAGAGGCGGCTCCCGAATCCCGCCGCCGTGCCCAGACCACGGCACCCTGCACTCCGGCCTCGTGGGGTTCCCGCCCCACTGTTTGTGCTCTCTGTCCCTTAGCAACACCCGATGGCACGTATCTGTCCATCTTTCCACCAGAGAACTGCGGCTCTTGGCTTCTCTGCCGCGTCTGGGGCCTGGCACAGTGCCTGGCGCATAGCAGGTGCTCAACAAGTGCTACTGAGGAAATGAGAGGACCAGACCCTGCTGGCAATCCAGCCACACCCAGCCGTGGGCAGTCCCGGACCTGCCGCCCTCCTGTGCACCTCTGGGCCCTTGTGCCTGTGAGCCCTGCTGCTGGACCCCCACTCGCTGCAACTCGAGGCAGCCTCACTGACCCCGGGCAGACAAGAGCACACCCTCCCGTTCTTTTCTGCACCCTCTCACCCTGCTGAGGCCCTGGGGCCCCAAGTCAGTCCTGTTCAAGGGGCCTTTCCCCGCAGCCGGAAACCGAGGACCTGGGAGCCTCAGCCCCTGGCCTGGGGAGGTGCAGAGCAGGTAGTGGAAAAGGAGACACCTCACAAGGATTGTGAACCTCCCAGTTTGTCCCAAGTCACGCCATGTTTAAAGGGGCGTGCCACATGATGCAAGAGCAAGCCGTGGGCACGCTGTGTGCACACGTGTGGAGCTTTTGCTGTGTATCAGCACAGTGGGGGCGTCTGTGAGGGCATATGCCTCTGGCCCCCAGGAGCCGAGATGTCTGTGGAAGATGCTGGGGGCTGCGGGGCAGGGGGCGGAGTCTAGGGGAAGCGGGGAGGTGGCATGGGCATCTGGTGCGCAGCTCAGCAGTGGCTTAGGGATGACTGAGTGAGTGAATGTGCACCCACACTCACACCTGGATGTGCAGGTGCACCAGCCCCCCCCCCCTCGCACCTGGATGTACAGGTCCACCAGCTCGTTCTGCTGGAGGAGGTAGTAGATCTTCCCAGCCTGCAGCCAGGCGTATGCCTCCTTCTCCTTCTCCTGGAGGTCAATGAATATCCCCAGACTGCGCTTGGTGTAGTCCAGTGCCGACTTGTAGGCCCTGGAATTAGACGCAAGGGTCAGAACAAGCCCCCTGAGGCCGGCTGCCACGTGGGAGGGAACTGGGCTCTCCCGAGGGCCAGGCCGGTGCTGGCGACGAGTGGGAGCGGAGCCTGCCCCGCCCAGGCTGAGGGAGAACGCAGAGCACGCAGGCTGCAGGGCGCGTCTGGCAAAGACGGGAGGCTCTTTGGAGGGACACGTTAGCCAGGTGTCCGGGAGGCGTGCGCTGTGCTGACTCCGCCCACCAACCTGTCTGGGCCCAGCAGGAACCGGGCACTGGGTGGAATCCAGAGAGCATCTGGGCCGAGGCTCGGACTGGAGGGAGCCGCAGCCGCCCACAAGCCGTAATCACAGGAGGCTGGACGCTGCTCCCCGCTGTGAACTCGGGGGTGGCGCCAGGAGCAGGCACTTCCAGCACACTCCGGTCTGGGGACCCCACTTTGAGAAGCGTGGGTCCAGGACACTGGCCCACGGGCTCTGCCATGAAACCCAGGCCCAGGACTGGCCCTGCCAGGCCCTGAGGAAGCCCGGCTCCTCCCTCTCTCCGAGAATCCCCACACTGAAGGGCTTTGCCGGGCCCTGTGGGCTGCGTGGCTCCAGCCATCTGTCACCCCACCTGGTCAGGAAGCTCAGTGTGGGCTTCACAAGGGGCACGTGACCCTGAAGCCCTGCCCCAGGGGAAGCTGATGGGGCAGCCAGCTTCTGTGCTCCTGTGCACGAGACCCCTCCAGACAGAGGTGGCTGCTGTCCTCATGTCCACACTGGGCCCGTGCGAGCAGGCACAGGGCAGGCGGACGTCAGCTTACAGAAGCCACCGCCGCAGAAAGAACAGCCCAGGACATGCTCAGCCTACCCCGGGAGGGGTGCAAGCGGAGACTGAGGACAGGTGACAGGGGACTCCTCTGTCATCATCAATCCGCACGACCCCAGGCCTGCCAACTGGGTGCTTGCTGGCACTGGGCACCCGGGAGGCCAGCCTAGCGTCCTCGCCACCCCGCCGCTCCGCAGAGCCAGGCCTCACCGCTCAGTGCCCAGGGACAGGTAGAGCTGGCTGATGGTCTCCAGGAGCTTCCCCTCCAGCGCCTTGTCAGCCACCCTCCGGGCCAGTGCGAGCTGGAACTCGTGGTAGACGACGCACTGGGCCGCCCTGGGCTTGACCGCACTGTAGAAGTGACACAGCCGCTGGACGGCACGCAGCTGGCCTGGGCAGGGCAGACACAGGGAAGAGGTCGAGGTCATTCATCACGGCAACGTAAGGGCCCTGCTGTGTGCCCGCCTCTCCCACACCTCTGTGAGCCGGGGTCCTGGCAGGCTGGGAACCCGAGCCCAGACAGGCTGAGGAATCTGTCTGAGGTCCGGCCAGGGCCAGGCTGGCCACGTTAGGGGTGCTGGAGAGACGGCACAGCTGTTTTGATGAACCCCAAGCCTGGGGTCCTGGCCAGACTCTCCCAGCAACACGCCTGGCTCCTGCTTTGCAGAGCTCCTCCGGCCAGGACAGCTGGTCACGCCGAGCTGATGAGGCTGGACACCAGCATTCCCATGGGGCAGGTGGGCCGGCTGAGCCCCAGGTCAAGCCCCCCCACGCGGGGGAAGGGGGTGCCAGTTCCGTCTTGGCGTTCCAGAACCGATGCTCTATCCAGACGCCAGGCTCCCAACCACAGCGTTAGTTGCCTAGTCTGAAAGCAGGGGCCTGGGGCCAGTTGAGAGCTTTGTCTGTTAAAATGGTCCACAGCCCTGGCCAGGTGGCTCACTTGGTTAGAGCGTCGTCCTGATACGCCGAAATTCCAGGTTCGATCCCTGGTCAGGACACATACAGGAACCGACCAATGAGTGCATAAGTGGAACAACAAATACGTGTTTCTTTCTCTCTTTCAAATCGATAAATATAAAAAGTTTTAGAAAGATTCAAAGACATAATTAAAAAAATAGACAATAGAAAAACTGAAACATCGGCGAAACCAGGAGCTGGTTCTTTGACAAGATGAACGACATGAACGACTCTGTAGCTGGACCGACCGAGGGAGACAGAGGGGCGCCAACTGCAGAGGTTGGACTTTGTCACCAGGGTCACGGCCTCGCGGAAAGGAAGGGGGATGACAGACTGCTGTGCGTCACGCACGCAGGCTTATCATATGACCAGAGAGAGGGGACAAATGCCTAAGAGGACGCCAGTGACTGAAGCAGCCTAAACCACGGCCTGGAACAGCACCAGGTGGCCCTGGGGGGTCACCCAGCCCTCGTCTCCTTGCTATTCAGTACGGGGGTGGCAGCGGGGAACAACGGGATCCCCCAGGTGCCCCAGCTTCTCTTTTCCAACTCTGATCCCCGAGTGCCCTGAGGGGCCCGCAGGGCCACTGGCCGGCCCCACCCGCACCTGCCTGAGGCCACAGGTCCCCAGTCCCCTGGCTTGGCTCGTGGCTCTTTCTGGAGGTTCTGGGGGGCCCTGCCAGCCTCAGAGAGTGCTCCCCAGTGGTCTCAGGGAAAGTGCTGAACCACAGCCTGGGCTCTCCTACTCCTGCCCTGCCCCCAGTGGAGGTTCCTACCACCTCAGTGCCTGGCCCAGCTCATGTACCCCAGGGCCTTTGCACAAGCTGAACCTTCTGCCAGCACCCGGGTTAAACTCTCCTTAACCCTCAGGTCCCACACTAAACAGGCTTCCCTGACCCATGAGTTGGGGTCAGGAGCTGCCCATCCCCACACTGAGGACCCACTTTGTGGTTTTGTGACCTGGGCCTCTTCCCCACTAGAGCCACCCAGGGCCTGGTGCACTCACTCACCAGGGACTGTTGGTAGAGCTAATGCTCCTCGGCCCTGGGGCCACCACACCTGGGAGGTGTCTGCTGTGAGGTGCTGCTGGAGGCTCAGGATGCCCCTGCTAAATCGCCCATGTGTTCAGAGCCCATTGAGGTCTCTGCTCAGCCCCCCACCCGGCCTGGGCTACGTCCAGGGTGACCCTCCCACATCTGCCCGACTGTGGGAATTCCCCAGGCTGTGGGGCTTCCGGAGCTCAGGGCAGGAAGCCCCAGGCAGACCAAGACAGGTGGGTGGCCCTGTGGTGGCGCCTGGTCCAGTGTGGGAACACCCTCCAGCACGTGCAGGTAGCGACAGCTTCCTCCCCTCAGCGTTCTCGGGGGTGGAGAGGTGCCGCCCACGGTGAGTCGCAGCCCCAGGTGCCCTCTGAGCGGATGTGAGAAGCACACTTGTCTCCCTTCCAGGAGGCTGCATGGCACTTACTCTCCACGTGGTCCATCTCCACGGCGACCAGAAAGGCCCACTCGTAGTAGCACTTGCCCTGCTGGGTGAGGGCCTGGTGGATGTGCAGCTGCCCCAGCTGCAGGAGCACCTGGGTGAAGTCCCGGCCACACTCCCTGCCGGGCAGCCGTGAGAAGAGCCACACGGCCTCCTGGAGGTAGTGCTGGGCCAGCCTGCTGGCCCCGGCCTGCAGGCACAGTGCCCCGAAGTTGGCCAGGACCACTGCCTGGTTCCGCGGCTGGCCCTGGCCCTTGGCGACCTGCAGGGCGCGGTAGTAGCTCTCGGCCGCCTGCCGGGTCCTGCCCATCCTCTTCAGGGCGATGGCTGCCATGTTGGCGATCGCACCCTCCTGGTCCGCACTGGCCACTGCTGCGTCCAGGACAGACTCCAGGATTTGCAGGGCCACCGAGTTCTGCCTGTGAAGCAGGTGCAGCCGGGCGAGGGCCACCAGGCGGTCCACGAGCAGGCCGCCACCCGCCGTGGCATGAGCCTCCACGGCCTGCAGCATGGCGGAGATGGCCCTGCCGTGCTGCCCGTGGTGGCCGTGCAGCCGGGCCAGGCTGGCGCAGAGGCTGCCGCGGTGGGCCGGCCCTGCGCTTGAGGCCGTGGCGGCCAGCGCCTGCCTGAGGTAGTGAGCGATCTGGGCGGGGAGGCGGGGCAGCAGGGGGGTGTTCCGCAGGACCAGGTCCACACTCCTGAGCGAGCTGGCTAGCGAGCCCTGCGTCCGCAGCGAGGCCACCCTGACGCAGCTCAGGGCCAGGTGGGGCAGGCACTGCCGGCTGTAGATGTCTGCCAGCAGCAGGTAGCCGTCCGCCAGCCACAGGGCCTCCGGGGCCCCCAAGGCCCCGTGCAGGAGCAGCAGCCTCTCCAGGAAGGGCAGGGCCGCCTCGGGCTGCTTGAGGCTCACGTGGTGCCGGGCCAGCAGGAAGCAGGCCCGGGCCTCAGCCTGCAGGCTGCGGCTGCCGATGGCCCTGCGCAGGGCGAGTCTCAGGACCTCTGCCTCTGCCCCGGTGCTGCAGACATGGCCGGCTGTCCCCATGAGCAGGGCAGCGGCTCTGGGCACCACCTGCCCACACTTCTCCCTGTTCTTCTGCTTCAGGTGGATGGTGGCCAGGTTGGCATACAGGGCCACCACCAGGAAGAGGTCGCCGAAGTGGCCCCCCAGGGCACCCAGCGCTTCCTCGAAGTACACTCGGGCCTGGGACAGCTTGAGCCTCCGCACGCAGAGCCGCCCCAGGAGGAAGCAGAGCCTGCCCAGGGCCAGGGGGAAGTCCTCCTTCTTGGCCACCCCCCGGGCCTGCGCCAGGCGCCCAGCCAGCTCCTCCTCGTCGGCGAAGCCACGGAACATGGTGCTCAGCGCCGGCAGGGAGAGGTCGTACAGGCCCTGGAAGCCGGCCTCGTGCCCGGGGGCGTCCAGGAACCGCAGCAGTGAGCCCAGGGCCTCCGGGTCGGCCCAGGCATCCTCGGCGTCCAGGCAGAAGGAGGGCTCCTCGGCGTCTGGCGAGCTCACGCCGCTGGACACCGTGTGGAGACCCCAAGACACTGGCTCCTCAGGGCAGCTGGGGCAGGACTTTCGTTGTTCTAGAACATTCTTCACCTTCTGCAGGGTCTCATGTGGCTCTAGGTGCAGGCCAGGCAGAGGCATTTCTGCAAGTCAACAAAACCCCAGATGGATTAGAGTCTCATCCGAGTCCAGGGTGGAGAAGGGACGTCCCTCCCTGGGCACACTGTCCCTCTGGTGGCACTTTGCAAATACCGCCTTCCCAGGAAGTGCCCAGCACCCACGGGAGGCCAGCACACAGTGGGAGCTTAATCATATGGTTACAGGAGGAACACAGGTCAGTGCGGCCGAGCATCCAGTGGTCTCCTCTTCTTACTCTTCCTGTGTGAGAGCAGTTTCAGGAGACGGGTGACTTAGCTCCATCACTACTCAGCGATCCTCTCTCCCTTTGGAAAGATCCCAAACCACCTAACAGGACATCCATCAGTGCCACAACCGCCCACGTGTGGCTGTGTCAGCACCTGGAGCCTCCACTCAGGCGCAGGCATCCCAGTAACACCATCAAGAGCCAATCAGAGGAAGGGGTGGACCAGCCTGAGCTCCAGAGCCGCCCCACAGACTTGACAAGTGGCCACGGTGCAGGAAGGCCCCTCTCTAATGTGCGGCCATTTCCCGCAGGGAAGGTTGGGAAGGACTCCCAAACCCCCCAGCTTGGCTGGTTTGAGACTTGGAGGCCCACAGGCACGAAAGGGTTAAAAAGAAAAAAAGGGGGTCCTGGCTGGTGTAGCTCAGTGGATTGAGCGCGGGCCTGCGAACCAGACAATCGCAGTTCGATTCCCAGTCAGGGCACATGCCTGGGTTGCAGACCAGTTCCCTGCAGGCCAGTTCCCAGCAGGGGAGGCAGAAAAGGCAACCATACATTGATGTTTCTCTCCCTCTCTCCTTCCCTTCCCCTCTAAAGATAAATAAATAAAATATTTTTAAAAATAATTTTTAAAAAAAAGAAAGAAAAAAGGGCAAGAGCTGGAGAATCTGGGGACACCGGACACCGGGCTACCCACACCTCCTGCCTTGTCTGTTGGCTTTGGAAAGCGGCAGACCCAGAGCCCTGTCCAGTGTCTCGGAGCAGACACGCCCCACTTCCTGCTGGGAAAACACCGGCTTTCAGGGGAATTTGTTTGGAGGAAAGAACCGGCCAAAGACTCTTCTGTTTCAAATTCTCATAAAAAACTGTTCGAAAATAACCGTGCCCTTATTAGTCCGTGAAGTCCAGGAATAAAAAACTAAATAGTGGCAAGTTGGACTTGACTTCACATTGGACTTGCTGAGAACACACCCTCGTCTGATGCAGCAAGTGGGCCTGGCGGCGTGAGGCCCCTCTGCTGGGGGGAAATGGGGTCTGGGAGGCGGAAGGGGGGTTCTCCCTGGACCAGCTCCTCAGGGAAAGGAGTGGACCCTGCAGGGGTTTCTCCAACGGGGGGGGGGGGGAGGCTCCAAATTCAGAGCCTGTTCGCCCTTTGACGCAGAGAACGCAGGGATCTTCAGCTGCTCTGGATTGTGCGGAGAAACCCAGGGCCTGGCCTGGGCCCAGACAGTGAGGGTGCGCCCGGCTTACCTGGGGACAGGGCCGGGGGACCAGGCATGTTTGATGGGGCCCGCTGCCGTGGCGGAGGGTGCTTCACCTTCCCCTCACCCGCCAGCACCCCCTGTGGACGAGGGAGGTCTGTGCCGGACACCCGTGGGCCACCAGCTCTGGGCCTCTCCCTGGCGCTGTCCCCCGAGGCCCAGCCCTGAGGCCCGAGGAGTCCCCTGCCGTGTTGGGAGGACTCACCTTGTTGTTCTGGCGGCTCGGCCTCGGCTTCCCCTAGTGTGTCTGGAGAGGGAGAGAAGAGACAGGTCAGCTACCAGCCAGCTTCCTCAGGGTCCAGGGCTGTGCCGGGCAGAGGGGTGACCCTGCATGGTGGCACCTCCAATCCAGCGGCCGTGACAGGTGTGGGCTCTGGGGCCACCGCTGAGGGGCCAAGAAGCCACACCTTCCAGGGTCTGCCCACCCCACCCTCACCCATCCCCCGCCCCGCATTAGAGGCTGTGGCCGCCACTGCTGCCTCTCTGGGGACGGGCTGCCCCGGACACCACGGGCTCTCCCGGGAGCAGGCTGCTCTGACCCTCATCCGAGGGCAGCGCCCCCCAAGCCTCCATGTCCACCCCCTAAAGCGGGCCGCCCCAGCGCTCGCCGGGCTGCCGTGGGAGTCCACGAGAAAGGAACTGAGGAAAGATGTGTCAGGTGCTAACTGGGTCAGCCGTGGGGGCCCAGCTGCAGGGAGCTGGGCGGCATCCGGCAGAGAGAGGCTGGCCCCCAAGCTCGGGTCCCAGCGGGGCTTCCGAGGGAGGAGAAGACACGGCAGGCCAGGCCCAGCCTTGCTACTCCGAGGTCAAGTGTAAGTGCGCCCGTTTAGAGAGAGACAGAACTGTGCGATCTGGGGAGTTCACCCCTGCTCCTGGCGGACGAGGTCAGCAAGCAGGCGGAGGTGCGCGTGTAGGCGCCGGCACGCACCCAGGCTATACACCGAACAGACGTCCGCGCCCGACAGCCTCCTCAGCAGCCGCGCCGCGTCCTCCTCGGAGAAGCGGCCCGCCTCGCTGAAGAAGGCCCGTTCCTCCTCGCAGAGGAAGACTGCGCTGTCCAGCCTGGGGAGGAGAAGCGCTTCGTCTGAGATCCAAGTTTCCGAAGCGATGGTCGCCCGGGAGGACCAGTCCCCGCTCCCTCCCTTTACAGACTGTCCCTGCTCCCAGCCGGCACAAGGACTCGGGTGACAAACGAAAACAGGACAGACACTGCCTTTGCGGGTGTCTCATGGGGCCAGAGAACACAACTGGCTGTGACAGGCGCAGCAGCCACGGTGGCCGCGGAAAGGGGCTCCTGGGCAGCCCACAGAGCCCCGCCCCAAATGCCCTTCCCCGGGAGGCCGGCCGGGGTGGTGCGGGCAGACGGGCCCCGCACACAGCACGCTCCTCACACACGCCCCGCGGTGCGTCCCACAGCACCCGGCACAAACACACGTGGGCTCCGTGAGGTCGGGGGAGGAAGGATGGGGAACGGAGGGAGGGAGGGAGGGAGGAGGCTGTTCCTGCCTGTAGGACTGCACATCCACAGAATGTGAAACTGCAACTCTGAAACCTGGGGGAAGCCGTTTTTTGAGAAGGTCGTAGATAGAGTAGCTTGTGGGACATTCGACAAGATAAATGTCGAAAAAATGTCAGTGTCATAATGGACAGGAGCCACAGAGGAACTGCTTCAGATCAAGGGGACAAGGCTAAGGAGACAGGGCGGCTGGGGCGGGGGTTCTGGGACTCCCTCCGGCTTCGGAGGGCGCTGGCAGGGGAAACCAGTCCCGCGGGCGGCGGCACGGGTCTGGGGTAATCCCGTCTCTGTCCCCCGCACTGAGGCTGCGCGAGCTGGGGCCTGATTTGGGGAGACACTGCACTGTTTAGGGGTGAAGGGCATCGTGTTTGCAACTCACCCTCAAAGGGCTCAGAAAACTCTAGAAGGAGAAGGAAGAGACAGTGAATGACCTAAGTGGGCGTCCAGGCAGCCGGGGCGAAGGGCACGTGGGCACTGGGTGCTCTTAGTGCGACTTCTGCCCGAGGCAGGGACGGTGTGGGGGTTGGGGACAGGGGCCATCTGGGGGCTCCCTGAACGGAGGGCGAAGCTCGGGGCCCAGAACTGAGAGGCTACAGTGACCGTTCGTGGAGCCAGTGAGGGAAGGCGGTAGGGTCTCGGGCTGCAGACAGGACAAGTGGCGCCAGGCCCCTCGCCCTTTCGGGGTAAGGGATGGGGACAGACTGCTCAGCCCCTACCCGGGGCCTCCAGCTCAGACACTTGTTAAGTTTGGGACCTGTTTAAGCCACGTGGCCTCCCCAGAGACAGTGGGGACAATCTACACAAGGGTCCCCAGACAGCATTCCAGAGAATGCAGCTGCAGGGCTGTGGTCGGATCGGTGTGGAAGCACCCCCCCACCCACGGAAAAAGGAGTGCTTTTGACCCCCTGGCGCCCACCTTGAGCCTGCTGGCAGGACATGGGACTCGTGGAGGGCCCAGCACCGCTCGTGTGAGCGAGGCGAGGTCTGTGATGCGTGCTCGGGACAGGAAGGGGAGGGGACACGCTTTGGGAAAAGCTGGTCTGGCTGCCGCTCTCAGCACCGGGCCCAGCCAGGTTCGGGTTGCTCCTGACGGGCAGGCAAAGGGAGCCGGCAGGTACCGCCATGAGGGGGCAAGAAGACCTTGGGGTCCATCATGAAGCCAAAGGGGGCCCTGAGTCCTGCTCTGGAAGGAGCTAGTCTCCCCCAGGGCCAGCAGGCATGAGACGGGAAGTCAGGGCTGGATGGTAGAGGTGAGTCCCCGAGGGTGGGGACGGACTCAGGACCCACCTGAAAGGTCCTTTCCAAGCTACTTTCTCTGGGCTTCCTGACCCAAGTCTTGGCAAGGAGAGGTCAAGTCCAGGGGAATGGAATTCCCCCTGAGCAGAGCTTGCCGACCCCTCTCCTGAGAACCCCACTGCTGTTCAGGGTCGGGCAGCAGGGACGTGCAGGTGACAAGAGAGTGGGGGAGACTGTGGTATGGCCCCTGAGCTGCAGGCGCTGTGTCATGACAGCGCCGGACTCTGGTGTGCCCGGGACAGCTCTGGGATTCAGAGAAGGGCCCGGGCGGCCCCGGGAGCAAGGACGCAGGGGCGCAGAGGGGAAGGTGCCTCTCCAGCCCTGGGGCTGCAGCTGGGAGCAGACCTGGGAGGTGTGGTACAGGACCAAGTCCAGGCTTGTCACCTGGGAAGCAGGTACACAGTGGCAGGTTCCCACAGGGGCGGGGCGGGCTCGGGAAGGGGTGGGGCCTCAGCCACTCACTCAGACATGTGGCCCTGCACACGGATGAGACTCGTCCGCACAAACCCGACCTGGCCCGAGGACACGTGCCGGCCCAGGAGCCAGGGCAGGCCGGGCAGCTGGGCGCCCAGGATCTCGATGAGGTCGCCACTGCGGAAGGTCATCTCTTCAGGCCCGGAGCCCTGGTAGTCGGCCACTGCGGAGGCCAGGCCCACAGCTGCGGGGGCAGGGCACGAGGTCAGTGCTGAGTGCTAGGGGGCAGACGGTGGCCCTCAGCAGGGACACGCAGCTCCTGTCCGGCATTGCGGCAAAGCTTGGCCACCGCACACAAGGGGCTGGACATCCACGGGGTCCCCACACTGAGTGTGAGGAACTGAGGGCCAGAGACGTTCATTCACTGGGGCTGGGGCCCCTCCCTCCGTCCCACCCGCCCAGGGCGCAAGCAGTTATAAATATGGGTCCCTCCCATTCCTGTTCTCATGGGGCCGGCCTCATGTCCATGTAACAGGGGCGCCAGCCACCCAAACACTAGCCAGCCAGGGCGGAGCAAAAAGCACTGGACCAGGAGCCCAGGGTCGAAGCCCCACTGGCTTCTGGAAAGAAGACCCCCGGCCTCAGCACCCTCTGTTAGTGCTGCTGCGGCATCCAGCTGCAGCCCACCCGGTCCCAGCACCCCCCACCCCAGGGACCCCCGGCATGCCGAACGTGAGCCATGGAAGCCACACTTAGGGGTAGAGTGAACAGGCCCCGGCCCTGCCTTGCGGTCAGCGATGGCCCACTGGCCTCTCTGCACCTCGGTTATCACCTGGGAACTGGACAGGGTTCTAGCATCGTTTTCTGGCTTGGGGAGCATCAGGAGAGTGAAGAAGCTTCCAGAATACTGGTGCCTGCCCCTCCTCACCCGGTCTTTTTCCCAGGGGAGAAAAGCCAGTGGAAACATTTACCCATCTGCTGGCTGTCCGGCGTCACTGGTCCACCCACAGAGTCCTCGAAGGGGTCCCAGGGGACCCGGAGAGCCCACCTGGAGAGGGGAGAGGGAGGGCCTGGCTGCAGGGCGTCAGGGGTGGGGCGGACTGGGGCTGTGCGGAGCCTGGGTGAGTTAGCAGCCCCTGGGGACTCCTCTTGCAGGCCCTACACCTGCCCCCCAAGCACACTCACACCTGCCCAGGTGTGTGGTCTTGGCCCCGCCCCCAGGGCCCTGCCAGCTCCCCAGCCCTGGCCCAGGTCCCTGGGGCACCGGTGGCCCTTGACGCCCGCTGCAACCTGTTATTTCCAGGACACTGAACATCAGAAGATCAACTTTCTCTCTTTGCTTTGGCTGCCAGGAAGCTCCAAGCCAAGTTCATGCCCCCCGGTGTGCCCACAGCATGGGAGCAGGAGCTTCCAGGAGACGTGTCCTGGCCTCCCCCAGGTCCCTCCACCCTGGGTGACGTTTGAGACACCTGTGTGCTCCCGTGCTGTGGGCACACACGTGTGCAGCTCCCTCAACACTTTCCAGAACCGGCCAGACTCTGACATGGGAGCCCCGACAGCACATCCGGGGCCTCTCAGCCCAGCACCAGCCAGTCGGAGACTGTCAGTGCCCTGTCTCCTGCGATGCAGGTGACCGGGAGGCAGCAGGAGGGGGCACCGGGGTCTGTGGGGGCTCACCTGGTTCTCTGCCCTGCCCCCATCCCTGTCCCGTCAGCCCAGGGGCGCCTCCCAGAGCCCACACAGTAGGAAGCAGATGAACAAAGGTCGGTACCTACTGATGAAACGGAATCAAAGGTTCCCCTGCAGACGCGGCCACGGCCTCGGTGGGTGTGCTGGGACCCGAAGAGCTGGCCGCCGGGGCTGCCTCTCCCAGGGAAGCCCCTGAAGCCCACCTGAGGGGCTGGGGGCCCCTCCCTGCACCCTGGGGCACAGTTGTGGCTCTCACGTAGAGGTCAGGACACCGGACAAAGAAAGGCCCTTCAAAGCAGCAGAAGGTGGTCACTTGGGGTGGCTGGTCAGAGGCAACTGTAGCTTTGCAGTGGGACCACCCGTTTGTCCTTCGGGGGCCCCTGTAGGGGTGGCACCCGCAGGATACTCCAGCCTCGGTGTCTGCACCCACAGACACCAGCCACCAGGACCCCGGAGCCCCAGGGGCCCCACTGGGAGACTGGGCCTGGGCTGGGCCCCGGCTCTGCTTGGACTTCCCCTGGGAGCCCAGCTCGGCCGAAAACCCTCAGGGCCTCAGTCTCCCCTTCTGTGCTGTGAGGGGCCAAGGACCTCCTTGCCTGGATAACCCTGGGGGAGTTTGACCACAGCTGGCCGCCTGTCTTCCTCTGTGGCCAGGGTAGGACGCGGTAGGACGGGGAGGGGGCGGGTGGGGGTGGTGCTTGCAAAGCCTGCTATGCCTCTGGGAGTGGACCTCATCCTATAGCTCAGCACTGCCGCCCGGGCGCGTCCCTGTTGGGGTCGCCTGCCCACACCCTTGGGTCTCCGTGTGCACACCAGCACCTCCGGAGCCCTCCTGCCACCTGAGACCCCGCGGGGGCCCAGCACAGCACGGAGCTGGCGGGGTCGTGGCCGCCCACGCAGAGCTCACCTTCCTGGACCAGGAGGCCCTCGTGCGTCAGCCTCAGCGCCTCCTCATCCACGTGGACCTGGACGGTCGTCTCCTCATCGTCAGCAGGCGACAGCAGCCAGAAGGCCTGGTCCACCAGCAGGTTTTCCAGGCAGTGATGAGTGAAACCTGAGGGCAAACAGGCCTGGCCACCTCAGACCCGGGAGGGGGCGGGGAAGCCCACCTGGCCAGGCCCAGCGACATGCCTGCCCTGCTTTTGGGACTCACAGGGCCATCCCCACCCCAGGCTGGCCGCCTGTCTGAGCTGCAAGGGGACCAGCGGTGGCCACGGAGCACTTATGTGACCCCTCTGTGCATTGGGAAGGCCACTCCCTCAGTCTCTTCCTCTGTGAGAGGGGCCAGGGCCACCCACAAGGTCATGTGCATGGGGCGGGAGGGGTGTCCCCCCAGGCACACAAGGATTGTCCCCCTGATTGTCATTCCAAACGTCCCAGCTCTCAGACAGGGGGAGGAGGAGCACGGTTCTCCAGCAGACCCTGCCAGTGCCTCCCCATAGGACGAGGCGAAGTCAGCAGTTTCCCGGCCTGGGCCAGGGCAGTCGGGCCAGTCAGGCAAAGCCGGGTGGGAAGGATTCCAACACGGCCCGAGCCGCTCGTGCACTGGGAGCGTCACCGTGCGCCGCGCCCCTACCTGACAATGACGGGGAGCACGCTGACCCTGAAGCTCCCCCGACAGGCTGCCCTGCACTCATCTGCCCTAAAGCCCCGACATGCTCGGCGTGTGACCAGTGTCTAGTGAGGGGCGTCCTTGTCACGTGTTCTAGGAGGGCACGGCTTTACCAAGAGCGTGGTAGGTGGAAAACTTCCAGATTTCCTCGAAAGTCTTGAAGGTCACCACAATGCGGTCCTGGTCGCTGTGGATGGACAGCAGCCGGGCTGAGAGCTCCTTGCAGGGGAAGAAGCGGGAATCGGACACGGTCCCGGCAGCTGCAGGGCCTCCCCAGCCCAGGCTGCTCCCCTCCAGCTCTCAAGCCGCCCCCCTCCACAGCCCCCCCACCCGCTGCCGGCTCCCCAGTGCCCCACCATGGGTCCCACCCTCCAGGGTTCCGGAATGGCCATGTGCAGGCAACCCCCACCCCTTCCCCCACCGCGCCGCCTGCCTCCGCCCCTCCCACCAGCGCTGTCCCGGCTCGGGCCTGCCCTCAGCCTCCCTGTTTCCCGGACCCTCAGTGATGGCTCAGTGGCCCGTCAGCCCAGACCCACCACTCGGGGCCACAGTGCTCTCGCCTGGGGTCATCGGTGGGCGGGGGGCTGATTGCTGAGCACTGAGCTTGGGGTGCTGTGTGTGGATCCTCCCCCCACTCCCTCGGTAATAATTCTAAGCCCCCCATAAGCAGCTCAGGAAGCTGGCTTCACAGAGGCTGAGGGGCAGGGGCCAAGGGAAGACTGCAAGGTCAGAGGGTGGCTGTGTGTCCCGCCCCAAGACCCTGGCCAAGGGCAGGTCTCCAGGCCTAGCCCCCTTCTCCTGCAGGACAGACTGTCCATTCTGCAGGGGCCGACGGGGGTGGGCTTCATCAGAAACAGGCTCACACCAGGCCTCTTATTCCCCATGAAGGGACTTCCGTGAGCCCAGCTGGTGGAGGGCAGAGGCAGGAAGGAATGGGGGACATGGGGTACACGGTGGCCCTGGAGCGGCTGGGTCTGGGCAATCCAAGGAGCCAGCCACCCAGGAGATCAGATGGGGACAGGTCATGGCGCCATCACAAGGTGAGGTCAGAGGACAGCTTCCCTGCCCATGGCCTTGGCCCTTGAAGGCCTGGGCTTCCAGGGCCCTCCTCCCATCCTGTCTGCTTGGCCCAGTCCCTCCCGGTCCTGTGGTCACGTGAGGACCCCAGCCCTGTGCTCGCCCGGGCGTGACCCCCTTGTGCCCTAGGCCCCGGGGGTGCCAGGCTCACCCCCAGCGTGCGGGCCACCTCCCCGCTGTCGCTCTCCAGCAGGCGGAGCCGGGCCCGCAGGGCCTGCTGCAGACCGGGGTCCAGCAGCCCACTCTTCCTCCGCATGGCCAGCAACTGCAAGGTCAGGTCTGGAGGGGGCAGACCAAAGTCAGGCAGCCTGCCTCCCTCTCGAGCCCCCAGTACACCACTGGGGGACCCGGGTTCGATGCCTGCGCCTGGCACTGCCTGTACCAGCCCTGCTCAGGGGTCTGTGTCCCGGGCCCAGCTCCCGTTGTGGTGAATGAGGGGGCTTGCTGCCTGCACCCTGGAGTGATGGGAAGAAGGGGGCTCCTGGTCCAGTCCAGGGGAGGACGGCCCCAAATGAGCTTTCCACAGGTGTCCTGAGTCACTGAGACCCAGTCCCACACAGGGGCACCCCACCTGCAGCATTTGCCCCGCAGACAGACCCCCCTTCCTCCCCCTCCCCAGCCCAACTCAGGCCACCCCGCCTTCCTCTGTCAGGCCCCAGGGTTCCACGGCGAACCCCACGGACCGTCCCGACAATGCCAGGTCTGGCCGGCAGCCCTGTGACGCAGACCTCAGCTCAGATGCCACCCACCGACCCACCCCGTCCTACCAGGAGGCCCGTGCAGCACTGAGTCCCTGGAGCAGGGGCTACTCTGGGGGGTTCAGAGAGGGAGAGAGAGGACGGGGAGGGAGAGATTCCCGCACCTTTTGAACAAGACTTGTGTCTGTCTTAGAACTTTCTAGCAAAGGGCCATGGAGCAAACACACCCCCCCCCCGCCCCAGTGGGGCAGGCCAGTGGCAGAGGTTCTGGAGAGAATGTGGGGTCAGGCCCTCTCCCCTGCAGGAAGCCGGCATTTCACGACTGGTTCTGAGGTTCGGCCCCTCCAACTCCCGCAGAAGGGCGGGGTCCTGTTCTCAAACTCAAAATACTCTGCCTTGCTGCTCAGTTCGCCATGGTCAACTCAGTTGGCCACGGAGGACACTGACCACCGGAAAGGAAAGAGGGGGGGGCAGGGAAAGGTGAGACGCCAATGACACCGGGGTCTCCATGTCCCGCACAGCTGGGGGTCAGGGGTGGGGCCCCAGGGGCGGGGGCAGGTTCTTACTACAGCCCAGGGTCTCCCACTGTCCATACCCTGTAGAAATCCGCGCTCCCTGCACACCTCCCAGAGGGCCCTTCCCCTCTGTTGGGGGCTCTTCGTCTAGTTTCTACCACGTCCCTCACCCCGTCAGCCTCCCCAGAGTGTCCCTTCCCCTCCCCTTTCAGAGGGGAGTGGCATGTGGCTTTTAGGGCCACACCCCTTTCAGAGAAGATGAAACAGTCCAGGGAAGCACTCTGCACGCGCAGGTGACCCGGGCTTCTGCCCCCACGGAATGCAGAGGCCTGGGCCCAGCTCCAGTAATGGAACCAGGTGGGCACAGGACCTGGGGCTCCACATTTCCCAAGCCCCTCCCCCTCCCCCACGGAGGGAAGGGGGCCAGGGGTCCCCCATTCGCATCCCCATCTGATTGACGCCTGCTGGGCGGCATCGCGCTGGAGGATGTCTACCTGTCGGGTACGCGCCCATCTGGCCGGGAGGGGTCCGGGCGGCAGATGTCGGAGAGACACCGGAGGAAGGGGCAGCATCTGTAACAACAGGGCAGGTCTGTGTAGCACAGGTGACAACAGGCCTCTGTCCCCTACACAGGCCCCAGCCCCCCGGCTATTTCTGGAACAAAAGAGGTGTGTCCACACCCCCTCAAGCGCTGGAGTCCTTTCCTCCAGGGTCACAGAAGCCAGCAAGGACGGGAGGCTGTGAGAAGCTGCTGCAAGCCTGGTGGCCTCAGAAAGCAGCGAGGCGCGGCACCTGGGCAGGTGACGTCGGGTGTGGGCAGCGCCGCCTCCTTCTGCGGGCTCCTTGCCTGTCTCAGCTCCTGGCGGCTCCCGCGTCCCTGGGCCCCTGGCCCGCCACCACAGTGGATTTCCCCAACTGCGACCTCCAGAGAACGGCCCCGCCTCCAGACTCTAAATGCCATCCCATAACGCCAACCTCTTTAGCCACAGGAGGTAGCGTGTGTGGGGTCTGGGAGGAGGGTCTGGACTTCTCCGGGGTCAGTATTCTGTGACCCAGGTCGGGAGCAGGCAGAGCTGCGTCCCGATCCAGCTGCCCCAGTCCGTTGCTGGGGGTGACACAGGCCTCGTGAGGCTGGGGGGGTGGCTCACTGCCTGGTGAGGGCAAGCAAGATAGGCCTAGCCCGGAGCTCAAGGTCAGCGGAGGGCTCACACCGGGACAGAGCAGGGGTGGACTCGTGAACTGAATGGCAGCTCAGGCCTCTGTTGCCGTCCCCCTGCTGCAGCCCATCCTGAGGCCGCTCCCAGCGTGCACCTGGGCCCGGTGCTTGGTCTCTGCACAGCTCCAGTTACCCATCTGTAAAATAGGATGAGCAGCTGGGGCCTTGGGGCCAAGGCGGATCTGCCTGGGCAAAACCTATGATTCTCACAGACCGTGGGACCTCCAGGGCTTCGGGCTGAGCACTGCCGGGAGGCCTTGGGCTGGGCAGCACAAGGGCACCCATTCCTGCTTTCTTCCCAATGGTGCCTTTGGAGCACCTCGGTGCACCAGCCCCACCCCGTGTGCCACCAGAGCCCCTACCTGGGGGCCCCCCTCTGTGTCCCCAGCCCCGCCTGAGACCCGTGCATGCACAGGGACTCCGAGAAGCCCGTCTGATCAGGAAAAGCAGGTGGCCTCCAGATCTGGGGGTGAAGCGCTGTCCCCCAATTCAGCAGCTTCCAGGGCTGGGGTGGGGAGCCGGCCAGGCCTGGGAGCCCCAAGCGCAGGGTGTGCTCACAGCATGGCGGGGACGTGTGAAGAAGCCGAAGCTGGGGTAATCTGGGTGACGAAATGCACAAGGATGGCAAGTGACACAGTCCAGAGAACGAAGTCTGGACCAATGAGCCCACAGTTGAAGGCATGGCGAGGAGAGGGGACAGACCTCGACAGAGTCGAAAGCCAATTGATGAAGAAGAGAAATACAGCGGGGGAGCAGGTCGCCATCACCACAGTTATTATTTCCATCAAGAACCAGGCACGGGTGATAGATGACTTCCAACAGGAAGCGTGACTTCCACGAGGAAGGGGACAGGGACACTGTCTCTGGGTGTCTTCTCACAGGCCGCGCAGCAGTGACAAAAGAATAACAACCTTTCGGTAGGCAGGAACGTTCAACGTCCCTCAGCCGAGTGGTCAAGGTGGAGGTCCCCAGCATGCGGGCACATCGCCACCGAGGCTGCACGCTGCGCTGCGCTGAGGGACACAGCCCTCAGCGGTTGGTCCTGCCCCAGATGCCCGCCACCACCGTGGGCAGTCATCGGCTGTGCCCACACGGAGGGAGGGCTCTTCTGCAGAACGACCAGCTGTGTCCTTCTAAACATTGCCCAGAGCCGTGGCACTGCACGCTTGGCACACCCAGGGTTTCCTCCGCCTCGGAGGACGTTCCTGGGACAGGTGGCAGGGCCAGCTGGAGGTGGGGGCCGTCATCTGGAACCCTCGCACTGTGCTTCTGTATGAGCATGTCCGGGTTTTAGGAAGTACGCATGCCCAAGGATTTGGGGCCAGGACACGTACAAACAACACCACGAGCACTGATAGAGAGGAGGCAAGTGGACTAAAAAGGCCACGGTCCCTCCCCTCTCTGCGCCTCAGTCTGTGCCGGGGACCAAGGGACGCCCGCCCTGAGCCCCCGGGGTTGACGTCCAGAAGAAAGCAGGCGGTGGGAGCACAGTTCGAACAGAGTCCCCGGGCAGCGGCTCAGCATTTCCAAGCCCCTTCCCCTTTCTCCCTGCAGTGTGCTCATTACTGACGCACCCCTGGAAGTTGTGGCTGGCCGCAGGGGACTCACTGGGCAGTCGGTCTGTTCCAGTAGACACGGGACAGGGCAGGCGGCACTCCGGCCCCCGCTGGGAGACCCAGGGGCGCCCCTCACTCCCCGCACTCACCATCTCTGGCCCTGGCCTGGGCCTCCTCAGGTCCTGCTTGTCGGCAGCTGGTCAATGAGCTCACAGCCTCTTTGTGGTCCCCGGTGCCACCGCCACCACCTAAGGGCCCCGCCGCAGTCACCCTCCCCATCAGGGCCGGCTCCTCTGAGGCCACCTCCGCTGGGCCCTTCATGACAGACCACGTCCTCAGTGCCCAGGGCTCGGCATGCCAGGCTGCCTTCTGTGGAGAGAGGTGAGGGTGGTGGTGGGTGGGGACGACCTCCCACCCGGGAAGACGGGCCACCAGCGGGACCACATGGACCCTGCCTCCAGAGCTGGGATCAAGAGGAGAGGAGCCCCCCGCCCCCACCCCTTTGTACTTGGAGGGCCCTACTCAGCCTCTGTGGGTCTGCTTGTGGGTCACCAGCCCCCTGACGAGCTCTGGTTCCCCTGGAATAGGCTGTTGCAGCCACCTGCCAACGTTTGCATGGTGGCCTTGCCAACGCCCCCTGGCCAGCCGGGGGGTTGTCCTGGCAGTCAGGGGTCACTGGAGAGCCCACCACACCCTTGACACCCAGATATGACCGAGAATGCCCAGACAACATGCGAGCAAGGTGACTCGTAGGGACAGGAGCTGTGACGTCCCCATCTCACACCATGGCACTGTGCTCCGAGGACCAGGCCCCTGCATGCCCGGCCGGTGGGGCTGAAACATTCCGAGGACCCCCAAGATGCTTATCTCCCATAGGTAACTGCATCATTCCCCGTCCCACCGGCCTCGGCGAGCTGGGATGCCCGGGGGTCCTGGGGCTGCTGGAACAACCCGCTCCGTGGGTCCGTCCCTCCCACTGGGAGGGGCCTGGCTCTGGCCGTGTCTCCCAACGCATCCTGTTTGTCAGGAAATGGGCCAGGCCCCAGACCTGGGGTGGAAGGAAGCAGGTGACAGAGGGCAGGGAAGTGGAAGTGGCCGACGCAGAAGAGATACTTCTCGGCACCCGGGGGTGCCCTCAGCCTATCCAAGAGCCAGTGGTCCTGCCTCATCCTCCCGGGCCAGAGGTGAGAGGCCCTCTGCAGCGGGCAGACCCTGCTCCTGGGTTGGGGGTTTCACCACAGCCGGAGAACCCAGAAGAACGCAGAGCCCCCTTTCAGACAGGGAACGCAGGCACAGGGCGATAGGGACAGTGGGCAGACCCCCAGCTTCGGCCCCAAACACAGGCTCCGGCACGACCCCCACCCCTGCCACCAAGCCAGCATTGCTGCGACCCACTGCAGCCCACCGGGCGTCCCATCAGAGCTCTTGGGTCCCTGGCCAGCTGGGACCCTGTTTGTACGGTCTCCAGTCCTGAAGCCTGTCCCCACCTGGGTCCTCGTCCTTCTCCCTCTCTGCCACCTCGTCCTTCGGGAGCCAGGACTGATGTGCCCCTGAGGTGGCGCAGGTCTCCCACCGCTGGGTACCTGGCACCATCACACCCGCCCCAGACATGCACCTGTCGTCCTTCTGGCCTCCCGGGGAGCAGGGCCAGCCTTCCACGTGTGTGTTGGGGGCCCTCCCACGGGCTCCCTGAGGGCCCTGCCAGGCAGGCGGGGCCACCGGGGACAACTGTAGGCATAAAGCTCCTGGTGACAGTCCGGCGAAGAGGAAGTGGGTGCTGCCTCTGTGGAAGCATTCCCTCCCCGCCCCCTACTGGTCCCCGAAATGGCCTCTCGGGGCCAGCAGGCTGCAGAGGGGCTGTCCTCGGCTCCCAGGGGCGGCTGGCGGGGTCACTTTCGGGCACCTCACAGAGCGCCTCCTCCCTCCGGCCTTGCTCCTCTGGGCTCCTCGCCTCCGTTGACGAGAACATCTGCCCAATGAGGAGGTTGGTGGACCGAATGAGCGGTGCCCCTGGGGTACAGCTGGCGCTTACAAAGTGGGGGCCCCACGGAAGGGGAGGACGTGGTACCAGCCCAGGCTCCAACGGGTTTGGGGGCCTGGCCGGCGCTCCCATGCGGCTCGTGCTGGACAAACAGGTTGAGGGCCCGAGCAGACCTTGGCCATGCCCCCAGGAAGCCCCTCCCAGGGTTGTCCGGCTGCCTCCTGTGCTGGGGTGAACAAACACTGTCCCCCTGGAACCTCAGAAGGTGACCTCCTTTGGAAAGAGGGCCACGCTGGAGAAGGCTGGGCCCCGAACCCAGTGCCCAGTATCCTCAGAACGAGAGGAGGGACAGGCACAGGGAGAGGCCCTGGGACAGCAGAGGACAGACAGGCCTGACCAGGCCCTGAGTCTGGGGCTGCCTGGGGCCTCCCGGAGCTGGAAGAGGCAGGACGGTGCCTCCCCGGGGCCTGTGGAGGGAGTTGGCCCTGTGACACTGTGATGTCAGACTGCTGGCCTCCAGCCTGTGGCGGTGAAGCCAGCCCGGCATGCGGGCTGAGTCGCGGCTGGTCGCAGTGGCTCCGGGACTCTGCGCCTTGACTCTGCCTGCTACTAGAGAGGGCTAGCCTCCCCCACACCAGGGCGTCCTCGTGAGCAGAAGGAAAGGACTTTAGTCTCATTGAGTGCCCGCACCACCCCCGACTCGGGCATGGAGGTGGTCAGCCAGGGACTCAGCTGGGCTTGAACGGTGAGGTTAGGATCCAGGTGGGTCCACGCCCTTGAGCCCCGGGCCTAACACGGATGCACTGCTTCAACCCCTGCCCCACCCCTGACCACGGGTTCAGCCGAAGCTCCTGGGACAGGACTCTGGGAGGCCACCCCATGCTGAGTCGGTGACAAACAACCCGACATTGCTCTGCCAGCCGTCATTTCTAGGAGCCCCTGAGAATGTACAATGTTGGGGATCCCTGCAGACAGGGCACGTCTAGGGTTCCCAGAGGGGCCCCTGGGAGCCGGGTCTCAGAGGCATCCCCGGGTCACAAGCCCAGGGCAGGACCTGGGGTCGCGAGGCCTGAGTCTGAGTCCTTCCTGATTGGTGCCCCTCCCTGGCCCAGAAGTGATAGCCTCAGAGTGGCCAGGCCACACCTACGGTGCCACCCTGGCAGGGCCCCTTTGGTGCCCCCCTGGGGAGAGATCCCACTTGAGCTGCCACAGACCCCCTTGTTGCCGGCTGGGGACTCACCAGCTGAGCCCTGGGGGAGCAGGTTCAGCAGAGGTCAAGGGGGACACAGCGCTCTGTCAGGTGTGACATCATCACTGGCCCCCTCACTGCCAAGTGGCGTGGGCTGTGTTTCTGGGGACCTGTCTGCCTGGGCCCACACCCCCAGGCTGCCCAGACTTCAGGTCTGCTCCCCCACCTCCCAGAGGGTCAGGAACGTCTCCCTGAAAGGGAAGGACATGAGACTGTTCTTCAATCCAGCTGTGGCCAGGCCCTGCTCTGCAGGCCAGTCCTCACCACTGTCACCCCCTCCCCACAATGTGGCCCTGGCCACCCGCCTGTCCGGCACCCCCATACCTGCGCCTGCTCCTCAGAGGCAGCTCCCAGGACAGCAGACGCCAGGTCGCTGCTCCTGGCTCCTCCCTGGCTGGCCCCGAAAGGCCGTCTCTGCCAGCCAGGGCAGGCAGGGCCGCCCTCAGCCAGACGGACTGCTCCACGGCGGCCACCGCCCCCTGCTTCCTGCCCCACTTCCTCCCTGCGCCTGGGGCCAGTGGCAAGAGGCAGGCCCAGCCAAGACAGCCAGTTGATCATTAGCTGCTTCCTGGGCCGGCTCCAGGCCCTCCTGCCAGCCCTCTGCCCGGCCCCCAGGTGCGGGAAAGAGGCCCGGGGACGCCAGGATTGGGGAAGTCAGCCATTGCCAGGCCTCCCTGCCGACCTCAGCCCGGCTCTGTTCCTCTCCCACGTAGGGCACTCGCATGCACGAAGACGCACGGGCCCTCGGGGGCACGCTCTCGCAGGGGTGTGCGTGCACTCACCCCCACAGAGGCAGGTGCGCCTCCCTCCCACCGGTCCCCTTCGACAAGGTTACAAGGGTCGGCCCCCAGTGCTCCTTCCCTCCTCTCCGCTGGCTTCAGCCCACACCTGGGTGTGAGAACAGGGACACCAGCCCTGCTCGCCTGGGAGCTCGCGCTGGGCCTGCTGCTGTCTCAGAGCAGAAGCGGGAACTGAGCTGGGGTGGGCCTGCCCTCCTGCACCCCGCCTTCCCTCTCGTCTGCTCTCTGGTCCCCGCCCAGCCCTGGAAATCAAGAATTGGGTTGGGGGGTGGCCCTGGCTTGGTGGCTTCGTTGGCTGGAGCGTCGTCCCGATACACAAGTGGGATATGTTCCCGGTCAGGGTACACACAGGAAGCAACCAGTGAGGGCATAAACGTGTGGAATAGCAAACCAATGTCTCCCTCTCTCCTCCCCTTCCTTTCTCTCTCTGAAGTTCAGTCGATGAAAAGAAAAGAGAAAAGAAAAGGAAGGGAGGGCGATCCGGACCTTCGCACACAGCCTGGTGACGCCAGGGACAGCCTCCAGGTGAAGTGGTAAGGTGCCTGTTTTCCAGACTCAAAACTGAGGCTCAGCAGGGTCGTGGAACATGCCCAGGGCCAGTGACAACTGGAAGAGGAGCTGGAGCCCCATCTGAGGGACGTCGAAGCCCAAAGGCCAGCGCTTCCAACCGCAGCGCCGGTGTCCTGGGGAGGAGCCGCCATGGGCAGATTCTGGCGGCACCCTGGCCCTCCCCAGCTGTGCCAACCACACACAGCCTCAGACATTTGTCCAGGGTGAGGCGTGGCTATGTCACCTGGGTTGAGGACTGTCGCTCTAGGTGAAGCTGTTTCTGGGTGAGGCCAAGCCACTCCCGCCCAGGGCCCTGTCCCCACCTCCCCACCCGCCTGGCCTTTCTCTGATCAACTCCAGGCCTCAGTGCAGCCACCCAGTGTCCCCCACTGCCTACGCCTTGGGCCTCGGGAGCCTTAACCAGGCCCAGGAGCCCCCTCTGGGACACGGGCCCACCCTACCCTCTTTGATAGCTTGCTCCAGTGGGCGGGTGCCCTGTCCAGCTCCCCGCTGCCCCTGATACAGGGACACACCACCCCTCGCACAGCCCTGGCGGTGGGACCTTCCTGCAGCCTCCTCATGCCATGGGGACTCCCTCGTGGGGCCGCTCCCCTGGGCCAGCCCTCTGTCCCCGTCCAGAGGTGAGCCCCGCTGGCCGGTCCTGTTCTCCTCTACTGTGCCTGGGGCCTCCCAGGCGCCTTCTTGGTCTTCCCCCCGGGGGGAAAGCCTGGGTCCCCTCATCTCCAGCACGACTGGCACTCAGGGCAGGAGCCAGCCCAGCCCGAGGCCACCACATCCACTGTGAACACCGGCGCTGCTGTGCCGGTGCCACGACCCTGGTGTTTGTGTACAGAGGACCCACTGCAGGTGGGGCTGGGCTGACCCTGTGCCCTCGCTCCCGGCCGTCCTGAGGAGTCAGCAGACCTGGGCGCTCTGCAGCCGGCCAAGCACAGAGCGCTCGATGTAGCCAAACTCAGTTACTGTTCAGGTGACGGACGCCGGTGTCCAGGGCTCCCCTGGGCCAGGGCGCGGGGCTCTGCAGGCACGGGCAGAGAGGAGCGGGTCTGGAGAGCCAGTCCCCGGGCCCGGATGCCCCCCAACAGCACTGGCCGGGCCTGCTGCCCCGTGAGGCCTGGAAGGGGCTGCAGGGAGGAGCCGGGAGAGGGCACGAGGCCTCCTTCCTGCCCTTGGCCTTGGCCTTGGCCTTGGCCTCCGCCCCGCGTGTGAGGCGGCCGGCCCTGTGCTCCGGAACCCGCCTCGTGCGCACACGACAGGCGTGGCTTCTGCTGCTTGTTGTGCTGGAAACCGTGTGGGAAGAGGCCCCAGGCAGGCCCCACGTCCATAAAAGGGTCCGGACACATTTCCTCCCCTGGCCATTGTCCCCACCACCCGCGACCCACATCCTGTTTGTCTCCGCAGCTGTGCCCGTGGCCCCAGGCCAGCGGGGGTTTCCCCAGGCTTCCCCGACCACGCCCAGCGCTCCTCCTTCTGCACGGGGCGCCCCAACGCTTCACAGCGCGCCCCCCACGGGCTTCCAGAACATGGCCTTCCAGGTCGGAGGGCTTTTTAAACACAGTCCCTCCTGGAGGCTGCAACCTCCAGGACCCACAGCCCCACCTGGGAGAGGCTGCTCTCAACCCCAGTCCAGCCCGGCCCGGTGCCCCTCTGGGTGGGCCCGTCACTCCCTGAGCCTCAGTTTCCCCTTTCCAATGGTGGAGCTGGGCTTAGCGATCCCTAAGTGCCCTTGAGCTCAGCAGCTCTGCCCCCCACGTGGTTGTGTGGCCTTAGCAGGGGGTCAGGGCTGGGACAGCCTGCCCTGCTCCCAGGGGGGCAGTGGCTGAGCCTCCGTAGCCACTCCCAGGTGACAGCAGACAGAGGGAGCGGAGGACCGGCCTGGGTGGTCCCCACCCCTGAGGGTCCATCCACGGTAGGTGTAAGTGAGGCGCCCGGCCTGCAGGCCTGTGGGGGGGCGGGGGCGTGGCTCCCGCTCTGCAGGTTGTCCCAGGGCCGGTGCTCTGTGTGAGGGGCCAGGGGGCGGGCCTCTGCCACAACCCTGCCACGCCTGCGTGAGAGCAGACACAGCCCATGGTGGCCGGTGGGCTGGATGTGCCCACGGGGCTGGGGGTCCCTCATCTAGAGAGTGGGGTGGGCTTAGTGGAGGCAGATCTCAGGATTGCCCACTAGAGCGGGAGGAGCCAGCACACAGGTGTCCCCACCACACTGGGACCAGGGTATGTGGGGTTCAAGGTCACGAGAATGTCCCAGGAGGGCAGGACGGGTGTCCACAATCAGAGATGAGGGCCAAAGACAGGTGGCAGGGGAGCAAAGTCCTGCAGGCTCTCGGGGGGGACAGGGGGACTCGGGCAGAGATGGGCCCTGCCCCAGGTCACTTGGCCCTTACGTGGGGACGGTGGCCGAAAGGGGGTGGCCCCGCCGTGGTCCCATGCCCTGCAGCACCCCTGTCTTTCCTGGTTCAACATGGTGACATGCAGATGTGACCCAGCTTAATGCAGTTTCCCAGAAAGACACAGGAACACAGATGGCACCTTCCAAGAAGCATATTCCTGAGCCCCTCCCGCACCAAGTCTGAGCGCAGATGCATCTCGAGGACAGAGGCAGAAGCTGCTGGCCTGGAGCCCGGCCCAGGGAAGGGGTGGGACGGGGCTCTGTATTCATGACTCTCGCCTTCACGGCCGAAACCCTGCGGGTCAAAGATGGGCGGGCGCTAGGCCCCGTGACTGCAGAAACTGCTCTTTGCAGGACGAGGGCGTTGGGACCAACAGGCTCTCCAGGTGACCCGTGGCCACCCCAGGCCGGGTGGCGGCCCGCAGGAAGCGGTCAGCAGTTCCTGCGGCCTGGGCCACCCCGCCTGGCCTGGGCCTCTGTCCCGCTCTGGCCCCATCAGGTGGCCTGGCCCTCCCGGTGGGGAACTGCTGCCTCAGCAGCTGATGGGGGGCCTGGGCCTGTCCATGTCGGGGGCTCCTTCCCCAGGGGCACTCAGGGTGACTGCGCCCCCACCTGGGGCAGAGCTTCAGAAGGGCTGCTCCCTACTGAGCCCGCCGGCGAAAGGCATTAAAGGCTGTTTTCAGGGCCCACAGCTGGCGCGAGGCCCAGGCTGGTCCCTCCTCCTTGTCACCTGTCACACTGTAGCCGGCAGGTGCAAGGTCGTGGGGTGACCAGGAGGGGGTGCACTGAGCAGACAGTGGGGGACATGGCATGTGTTTTACAACCGCCACTTCCCTGGGAGCCTGGGGCGTCACCCCACCTTATAATGAACCCCAGGAACACCCCGACCCCACTGGCCCTCACTGCCCAGAACCCCAACATTACTGACTCAGGGTGTGGACCCCCACCTGCTGCTGGAATGCTGGACACTCTCTGGAGCCCAGCCACGGGGTGTGGGGGGCTGTGACTATCGTCCTCGCAGGACCCGCCGCTGAGGAAACCAGGGGTCGGGAGGGCTGGAGGGAGTTGCCACAGGGCTCCCCAGTGTCCCCACGGGCCACGCCGAGACCTGGGGGTGCGGTCAGTCCTCAGGGCACTGCCCAGGTTCTGGGGCCCAGCCCGGTTTCTTTTCCCCTCCCAAAACAGCCTTACCTCACCCCCATCCCTGAAACTGTCCTGTCAGGGCCACCAGCAGCCACCCTGCTGCTCAGTGCCAGGGTCGCTTCTCTGGCCTCACCCACGGGCCTCCCTGCCCGGCTGGCCCCGCCCTCCTTCCCAACCCCTCCTCCCGCCTCCAGCAGGCCCAGCACCCCCTCCAATGCCAGCAGCCAGGTAGGACTTGCAGAGCCGTCCATGTCCACACTGACGAACAAGGTGCCACCTCGGAGATGAGGGTTGAGCCCGCACTCCTGGGCGGTCCCCTTGGCTGGGGCTGGACAACTGCCTCGCCTCTACCCCCCACCGTAACGCAGCCCTCCTGCCATTCCCTGAACCTCCCTCAGGGCTGGCCCCTCCATCATCTGCGTCCCTGGACTGCCCAGACCTGTTCACACCCGGGCCCCCGCCCAGCGCCATGGTGGGGGCCTTTGGGCTCAGGATTCCACATGTCCCCCGTGGCCCTGGCACATGCATGTCCCCCTTCCTAGTGGCCTCCTGCGGGCACTGACCTCAGCTCTTGCCTACTCCCCGCAGGTGTCCCCACATGTCACCTCCTTCCACAGCCTTTGCAGATGGAGGACATGCCAGCCCTTTCTGCCCCCGGGCCCCGATCACACCGCGCCAAGACTGGGGTCTCTACCCAGGCTGCCCCGGTGAAATCCGGAGCACCCTCCCGGCCGTGGACGGACACTCGGCTCATGTTTGTTGAATGGCTAACGAACAGAAGCACCAGCAAGGGGGCAACAGGCCAACCAAGCGCCTCGGACCCTGCAGAGGGGAAGAGTCCGGGACACGCATGCCTCTGAGCAGGCAAAGTCACGCGCCACGCCTACCTTTTCCTGCCCCCGGGGGTCCGGTCCCACCCTGATTCCTGGCTCTCCAGGGAGGGAGCAGCTGGCTTGGGCGGGATCACACAGTGGGCCCCAGGGCCTCTCCCAGCCTCGTCTGGTGAGCCCGGCTGGGCGGGGCCTGGGGCCCAGAGTGTGGGGCCACCACACTCTGCCCCCTGGGGACGGGGCCCTGGTCACAGGCTTCTCGATGGCCGCGAGCAGCAGCCCTGCCAGACAGACGTCCACACCTGTGCCCTTCCCATGCCAGCCACCCAGCTGTGGGCCTCACGGGTCACGTTTTGGGGGGAGGGGAACATAGCCAGAGCGCCCACTGTGGGATGGGCACGTCCCACCTGCGGCACAACCTCCCGAGTGCCCAAATCTCGTACACCCACACGGACCGCGCACGTCGGGGGTGACAGGGAGGAAGAGCATAGATTCTGAGCCCTGGCAGCTCCTGGACCCAGCACCCCTGGCGTGGACCTGGGGTCCCACACAGGAGAGACGTCATTACCATGTTATCCAGAGGGGCAGAGCCGGGGCTGGCAGCGTCAGCCAGAGCCAAACCTACAGCGCGGCAGCCTGGTCCCCAGAACTCCCAGCCCCAGGAAGCCGGTGGCGCCTGGCGCCGTGTGCGGGGCACTGCCGTTGGGATCTGTCTGGCGTTCCTCTCGGTCCCTTCACTTTTAACTTTTAACGAACAAGACAGCTGCTGGTTCCGGGTCAGAGCCTGGCTGGGCCGGACCCCTGCCAGCAGCTCTGTTCAGTTAGACCCCCCTGTGCAGGTGACCCCGAGGCCCACGTCAGGAGGGAAGACCAGGGGCTCCGTGGGCGAGCCGTGAGGGCCGGCTCGGGGGCGGCCCCTCTGTCGGCGGCCTCATTCGAGTGTGTGCAGTGATGCTCGATCCCCCCGCACAGAGGCGCAGAGTGACCCCAACACCCTGTGTCCCCCAGCCTGGCCACACCCGGCATGTCAGCACACCTTTGACGGCGGGGCAGAAGCCGTGCTCGGGCCCGGCCGAGGGCAGCTGCCAACCGGCGGCCATCGAACCTCACACGTGTCCACCCTTTGACCGGCAGCCCCACCTCCAGGAAATCACTCTGCAGGTGCCAGGGTGTGGACCCCCTGACAGCAGCAGCGCCTCGGGAACAGCCCGGGTGTCAGGTAAGCCAAGCACCCGCCACACTCCGCAGGTCGAAGAGGCTCGAGAAGCCGGCTCGGGGAGTGGGGGAGAGGGGAGCAGCATGGTGACCGCGTGTCCAGTCCCCTGTCCAGCTCTCGGGTTAGGACCCCTGTCCTGTGCTGGCCCTTCAGGGGACGACCCTGTTAGACGACGGCTTTTCTGCCTGACTCTGTGAGCGGGGGCACATGGCACTGCACACTTGTCAAAAGACACTGAGCTTGGCAGCACACAGCACATATAAGAACAGAGCAATAAGAACAGTTCCAGGGGAGCAGAGGAGCCCAAGGGAGGACACGGAGGGAAATGGGTGGACGAACGCACACAGCAGCCTCCCTGGGGGTGGGTTGGGGTCGGAGGAGGGTGGACGGCATGTGTGCACAGGGCTGCCACGGACCTGGAGGCTCCCCGCGGGGGGCGCTGTGCCAGAGTCCTCCCTGCTGTACCAGGATGGGATGGCTGGATGTGAACCGGTCGGCGAGGAGGGCGGGCGGCGGGAGCCAGCGACCTGGCTATCGGAATGGATGGCGGCTCGGGAAACCAAGGAGAGAGGCAGGAGGGCCCCCCACCGAGCTGAGGGGTGGGGTCGGAGGAGACAGCAGTGTGAACTCACGGCTCCCTTCACACAGGTGCACGTGTGACAAATAGACACGCATTAGCGACACACATGCACGCAGTGTGTGCTGGGAAACTTACAGACGTATGTACGTCTATTCGAGGGCGGGTCACATCTATTGGGTTGGCCAAAAAGTCCCTCGTGTGTTTTCTGTGCGATGCCCGGGCAGCGCCGAGCTGTCCTCAACTCCATTCACAACGATTCTGCTAGATCGTGTTGTGACAGCCGTCCTACCAGCGTGCGCTAAAAAAGACTTATCAAAATGGGTGAATTTTCCTGCAGCCATTTTAATATTGAAGATGGAAGAAAATACGCAACATTTCTGGCATATTATGCTGTATTATTTCAAGAAAGGTAAAAACACACCTGAAGTGCGAGGAAAGATTTGTGCGGTGTGTGGAGAAGCCGCCGGGACCGATGGAACGTGTCGGAAGTGGTTTGTGGAGTTCTGTTGACATTTCGGCTAAACAATTATTTGCGGCGGAGCTGTGTCCTGCATCGGAAGAGGTTCAGCAGCCCCCGGCCTCTCTCCCCTAGCAGCCACGAATGAGAGGTCACCGACAGCCTCAAAATACCCAGATCAATATGCTATTGGCGAAAATGGCAAGCCAGCCTTTTATTTTATGGAAAAAACTGAGCAGACATTTTTGGCCAACCCAGCACACTAACTGTAGACGTGTGTATGACGTGAGCGAGTGTGCTTCACACTTATAGACACAGGTACGTGCCCACGTTGGTACACACGCTTCTGTGTGCAGGCTCTGCTGGCCAAGAGGCCCTAAAGCGAAGGACACCGGGAGCAGCCCGGGCCATGGAGGGGCCTCGGTTTCCGAGACCGTTCTCCCGGTGCCCAGGTCAGGACTCTGGGCCAGCAACTGGTTCCAGGACCGGCCAGAACCCACCCAGGGCGAGCCCTGCGGGTTCGTGCCAGAAGGGTAAGGAGTGAGTGAGTGAATGAGGGAGTGAACAGAGAATAAGCGAGACCCTGCAATGATGGGATGTCCAGGGACAAAGGAGCCACCGAAGGAGCCCCCAGTGGCTGAGATGGCGAAGACCTGAGCAGCAAAACTCATTAGATTAGAGGAGTTTCCTGCCCAGAGCGCACAGTGACTGCCCTCGGGTCTGTCCAACGTGAAGTGCTGTGAGCAACGCTCTGCCTTGGGCTGCACCCCTGGGGAGTTGATCCCCACGGCCCTGTGGGCAGGGAGGGGTGACCAGCAGGCCCCCTGTGCCCATGGGGGAAACTGAGGCCTTGAGCCGCAGAGCTGCCCTGGCACCAGCCAGCACTTGCAGAACCCACAGCCAGCCTCTCCTTCCCCCGCTCTGGTCAGGCCCCCACCCTGCTCAGAACCCGCTCTCATGCCCGGCCTCAGGGAAGGAGGGAAGGTTCACAGGGCTTGTAAGACTTTGGCCCCTGAGGGACCTGGGTGGCGGCAGGGAAGGAGGAGGAGGAGCAGAGACCCGTCCCTGTTGTGCAGACTTCTAAGGAGGAGGTGTGGGGGGGAGCCAGGACCCAGCTGGCCCCCAGCCCAGGGCTTCTGCCCCTCTGCAGGGCTACTGGGTGGCACCGCACTGACCCAGCAGGACACTCCTCTCTCAATGGGACCCATGGGGCAGCACCTCCCCCCCTTATGGCTACCAGCTTGACAACATCCAGTTCCACCCGCCGGGCTCTTGGCCCCTTTCTCAGAAGTGGGGACACCAGGCTGGCCCTTCTTGGCCACCTAAGCCCTGCTCCCCAGCCAGTCCAGTTTTGGGGTGCACCCCACCTGTTCCAACAGGTGACCCAGCAGGGGGCTAGGGGCTGCAGTGTGGGGACAGCCCCTCCAGGGACAGACCCAGGCTAGGGATCTAGAACTTACCCTGCCAGGGGGCAGACGCTGCCGCTGCCGAGGAAGGAAGAGAGACTCCTCAGGGCCCCTTCGAGGGTCCCCAAAGTGCCGCACAGAATGGGACAGGAAGGCGCACATTCTCAGCCAGGCTGGCCCTCCCGGCTCCGGATCCGATTGGGTGGCCGGAGCAGTCCTCGGGGTCATTGGCTGTGCCCGGGCTGACCCGCCCACCAGGAAGGGGCCAAGTCTCCTTGTTGACCTTTCTCCTCCTTATCACCCGACCGGGGCCGTAGGGAAGTGTCAGCATTCCCGGCCGGCCGCATTCCGGAGCGCGCATCGGAGGAGTGGCATTCCGGCATTCCCGAGCTGGGCGGGGAGCAGCCAGCCGCCCGGGGGGCCGGCTGGGCCCCCACAGCCGTCTGGTGGGCTGTGGATAGGCCACACCTGCGCACAGGTGCTGCACCCTGGCCTCTTAGACGAGGGGGGCTGGGCCCTTGGAGGGCTGCTGGGCCTCCCCCAGCCGGGCGGAGAAGAGCTCGCACTCTCGCCGCCTGGCTGCCTCCTGCAGTGGGGCCCGCGGGGCGGCTGCCTGGAGTCCGGCAGATGGTCACCGAGCAGTGCTGAGTGCTGGGCCCAGCGTGACGCCCGCAGTGGGCCACAGAGTGTTTCCCTCTCCCCCTGGGGTCCGGAGAGGCTGCGTCCTAGACTCGCTCACAGCGGCTCCCCCAGGGCGTGTTCAGGGTAACAGGGCCCAGGAACCTGGGCTTATGGCACGTTCCCAAGGGGTCTTCTGCCCGGTACCGGGCCACTCCCACTCAGTGGGCTGGCCCTGCCCCAGCCCCGGCGGGCGACTCCAGGTTCCAGAGGCGGAGGACAAATGTCCAGGCAGGAGTGCAGGTGAAAGCAAGAGTGAATTTACTAAGGCTGAGATCAGTGCGCCAAAGGAAGGGCTCTGGGGACAGAATCAGGGAGCTGCTGAGGGCCCTGCTCCCCGGATGGGGGTGTTGTCTGGGCCCCTGGGGAAGCAAGGGAGGATGGGGGGGTGCCTGTGCTCAAAGAACTGCTGGCCTCCTTTGTCCGGAGGGTTTTATCTGTTTCCTGTAGACGGGAAGTTTGGCCCGCCCCCGGGAGGATCCCAATGGGACACTCTCCAGCTTTCCGGCGAGTCCTTGGACGTGCTGGCGCGGCAGCGAGCGGGAAGGCGTCCGGGCCCTGCTCTGGTTGCGGTTCCCTCCGTCTCTGGTTCGTCTGGCCCTGGCCCCTGGCTAGGGGGACTGGAACCGTCTGCTCTCAGGCACCTGGTGGGGGGGGAGGATGGGCCTTTAGATTTATTCCCTAACTGCTAATGGCCGGCTGTTCCTCCCCCCAGTACACCCCCGCCCCCCAAACTCCCTGTTGAGCCATTTTTCTGTTGCCTCACTCCGCTCGACAGGGAATCGTACTGGTTTCTCATGGACCCGCCTCAGCCGGGCAAGTCTGGGCCCCTGTCCTACATCGAGTCCCCCATTGACACAGGTGGGCAGTCGCCTGGGGCCTGGGGCCTGGGGCCCACCCTGCCTCCCTGGCCCTCCAAAGACCTGCGGACCACCAGGGACGGGCCCACTGCTCCCACACTGGCTGTGAGACTTCAGGCCAGGTTACTTTTTAAACATTATTTATTTATTTTTAGAGAGAGGGGAAGGGGGGAGAAAGAAAGGGAGAGAAACACCAATGTATGGCTGCCTCTTGCACGCCCCCTACTGGGGACCTGGCTGGCAACCCAGGCACGTGCCCTGACTGGGCACTGAACCCACGACCCTTCGATTCAAAGGCCGGCACTCAATCCACTGAGCCACGCCAGCCAGGGCTCACGCAAGTTTCTTAACCTCCCTGTGCCTCCCCTTCCTTGTCTTTGAAATGGAAGAACAGGAGGTGTTTGGTCTGCCTCATCAGGGCTTGTGAGGAATGAAGGACACAAATGCTGAGGGCTCCAAACAGTGTCCCTCACACACATGCACGCGCGTGCACACACACATGCACATACACACACACCCCCATCAGGGGATCAGGCCCACAGCCCGGGCATCCGGGCATGTACCTGGACCGGGAATCAAACCAGCTACCCTTCGGTCTGTGAAGGATGCCCAGCCACTGAGCCACAGCAGCCAGGGCTGGAGCCCTGAGTTTTTAATCACAGCTCCATCGCAGACAGTGCAGCGCTCTCTCTGGTCCTCAGCATCCCCATCTGCCATCTGGGGGGGTGGCTGGGCTGGGCTCCGTCCCCCCATCCCTGAGGACCTCGGGGTGAGCCAGCGTGAGAAGCCGCTGCCCCTTCTCTTTAGGTGTGAACCCTCAGGCTCACGGCAGCCTGCCCTGGGCTTTGCCAGGTTCAGGCGGCACGCGTGAGGGGTCCAGGTGAGAATCGGCCACACGGCAGGGAACTTCTGCACGTTTATTGGAGCCAAACGGACGCCAGCTGCCAGGAAGCAGACTCTCAAACGCATTGGGAGAAAGCTGCGAAAAATGGCCACTTTGCCTCGTATTTTATACACCAGAAGCAAAGGAGAAGATGCAGGGGCGGGGGGGGGGGGTCCCAGGAAACTCACTGCTGGTGGTTCCGGAGGCGGGAGGGAGCAGAGCAGGGAGACCGCGGAGGCCGGAGGAAGAGGGAGACGGAGACTCGCGCTTCTTCTCTGCGGGTGGGCACGGGATGGTTATCAGTGAACCCGTCCAGCGCGTGGGGAGGGCGTGTGGGGGACAAGGTGACTCGAGGGGCTCCGGTGGCCTCTGCCCGGGGGTTGGGGGGCGGAGAGACTGTGCCCCGAGGAGTCTGGAAAAGAGACCTCGGAGACATTGTGGAGTGTCGTCATCACAGACGCAGCAAGACGTCGGGCTCGGTGAAGGCACAGACCGGCCTGTGTCAAGGACACTGCAGCCTAGGACAGGACTGCCCGCCACGACTTGTTTCCAGTTCAGAAGTTTTCAGGTCAGCCCTGGTCCGTGGGTTCGATCCCCGATCAGGGCACGTTCCTAGGCTGTTGGTTTGGTCCCTGGTTGGAGAGCACGTGTGAGACAACTGACCTCTCTCCCCCTCCCCCTCCCCCTTTCTTACTCTCTGAAATCAGTGAGTCTGGCCCTGACCAGTGCGGCTCAGCCGGTTGTGTGTCCGAAAAGTGAACGGCCACCAATTCAACTCCCCATCAGGGGACACGTCTGAGTTGCGGGTTTGGTCCCTGGTTGGGGCGCTATAAGAAGCCACTGATCGATGTTTCTCTCCCTCTCTTTTTCCCTTCCTTCTCCTCCCTCTAAATACAAACAAATAAAATCTTTAAAAAGAATGAAATCAATAAATATATATATCCTCAGATGAGGGTTTTTTAAAAGTGCGTATTCCAGACCCTGTGGCTGCTTTAGGTCTCTGAGCCTGTACGCCCCCCACGCGGGCCTCCTCTGTGCTTGTCGGGTTTCATGTGTGGCCCCTTTTGGTCCCCAAGCGGGTTCTGGCTGTGGATGATGGGACGCGTACATCGTCTTGCCCTGGGGACTGGTGCTGTGGAGCTTGGAATTCACTTCGGAAAAAAACAAATCGCCTTATCTTTTTTTTTATCCTTAAAAAAAATAGTCTTATTCTTTTTTTAAAAAAGATTTTATTCATCTATTTTTAGAGGGAGGGGAAGGGTTAGGGAAAAAGAGGGAGAGAAACATCAGTGTGTGGTTGCCTCTCGTGTTCCTCCAACTGGGGACCTGGCCCACAACCCAGGCATGTGCCCTGACTGGGAATCGAACCTGTGACCCTATGGTTCATAGGCCCATGCTCAGTCTACTGAGCCGCCTTATTCTTTTAAAGGCCATTTTAGAAATCTTGCTCTAAAAGAATAAAGATAAGACCACCTTCCTCCCACCAACGGCAACCCTTCTACCGAGACTGGGCCTGATCGATGGGGGCCCTTTTCAAGACAAGTGTCCTGTCCTAGCAGGAGCCTGGGGAAGTGACACGGTGAAGGGGACGGTGGCCCTGAGGGATGCGCAGGAGCACTCTGAGCGAGGCCACCGGAAGCGAGAAGACCCCAGAAGACTAGTGGGTGTCACCAGGCCCGGACCCCCAGGACCAGCTCTGCGTTGAATGGATGGGCTGGGTCCCGGAGCGGCAGCCCGAGGGGACAGAAACAGGCTGGGAGAAGGCTGCGACTTGCAGGCCAGGCAGGGACAGGTGTGGCCCTGCCCGCAGCTTCAAGTGTGAAAAGAGCGTCGGTGCCCTGACTGGTGTTGCTCAGTGGATTGAACGCCAGACTGTAAAGTAAAGGGTTGCTGGTTCGATTCCCAGGCAGGGCACACGCCTGGGTTGTGGGCCGGGTCCTCAGTAGGGGGCGCATGAGAGGCAACCACACATCGATGTTTCTCTCCCAATCTCCCTCCCTTCCCCTCTCTCTAAAAATAAAGAAATATAAAGCCTGGCTGGTGTAGCTCAGTGGACTGAGCGAGGGCCTACGAACCATAGGATCTTGGTTCGATTCCCAGGCAGGGCACATGCCTGGGTTGCAGGCTAGTTCCCAGCAGGGGACCCACGAGAGGCAGCCATACATCAATATTTCTCTCCTTTTCTCCTTCCCTTCCCCTCTAAAGATAAATAAATAAAATCTTTTTTAAAAATTTAAGAAAATAAGAAACTGAAATTGTATAAAAAATAAAGAAAAATAAAGAAATAAAAACTAAAAAAGAAAAAAGAAAGAAAAGAAAAGCAGGTCAGGCTACGTCCCAAGTCCACGAGGACTTGAATTGGTTCCGACTCGGTCCCGAGACAGTCTTCACCGTGTCCCGAGTCGTGCCAGGCCTGGGCAGGAGGGGGTCCGGGTGCCGGATGCCGCTGGTGGCGGACAAACGTCGGGCCTGTGAAAACGCCCACCACTGGTCTCTGAGGCCAGAGGGAGGCTTCACAGCAGCACAGAGACTCGCGATCACCTCCGCTCTTCAAAACGCTCGTGAGAGGAAGACAGCGGGAGAGAAGACCACGCCGTTGGCCGCAGGCGGGTGCTCACTGCGCTCCGCCTGTGCTTTCTGAGCACCGCGTTGGGGACCGGAGGATGATTCTGTTCGTAACTGGAAAAAGTGTGATTAGTGTGACGACAGAAACCACCCTGCGGATGGGAGGTTCTCAAGGAAACTGCTTCTGAGCCAGCGTTCGAGCCCAGGCTCCTGGGGCCTCCGAACCCGGCTTCGCCCCACCCCCCAGTTTGCCAGGTGTGAGGGTGTTGTCACTTGCTCCTGGTGTGTCTCCCCTCCGAAGCTGCGTTGTGACAGCCCCTGTAGCCCCTGAGTGGTGGCAGCTCTCTCCCCAGGTGACTTTGAGCAAGCCCCTCCGGTTCTGGGCCTCGGTTCCCACGTGCCCACCTGCTCCCTCCAGACCTGGAGGAGCTGCTTCCGTCCACTACTGCCCTCTAGTGGGGAACAGGAAGATGGACCACAGCCAGCTCTGGTGCCGTGTCGGGTAAGACACCTGTGGGCGACTTCAGTGGAAGCGCCTGGGGGCCACCTTCCCAGTCTCCCCTCCACAGAGGAGAGGGGTGTGGCCTTCCCAGGGAGGCCTGGGTTCCCCTGCTCTCCCCACTTGCTCGACCCTCGATTCTTAATCCTGTAAGAGTATAGTTGCCCACGAAAGAATGTCCAGCCTCATAGGAATCTTACTGGAGCCAGACTGATGGAATGGGTTACAAATTCTCGATGGATTGCGAAGACGCTCCAGAGTGGCAGTTTTGCAGTTTATTTATTTTATCCACTAGAATCCAGTGGAGACGTAAGCAGTTACGTGGAATCCGCGGGTGGTAGATGAGGGGGGCGGGAGAAAGCACAGCGGAGAGATCTGAGGTTAGAGAGGAGGTAAACCGGAGGGAGAGAGACACACCTTCCTCGCACAGCGGGCACCGGGTTGTCACCACTCACAGAGCTGGATGGACGGTGTGTGGGCAGCAGGACGGTGACATGCTCCCTTCTCTGGGGCCCTGGGTGTGACTTCCAGGGACCTGGGCAAGATCGCTCCGATGTGTCAAAGGAACGTCACCTGAGACGCACAAGACCACAGACATGGTCACAGGCGTGTTCTCTTAGGTGACGAAGACTACAGACCGTTTCAGAGGCGAAGACTGACCTTTGTCAAGGAAGCTACAGGCCTGCAGGTGACTGCTCACTGTTATTTGCCCTTGGCAAGGACTTCTGTGTTCGGACCGTCCCTGCGGTGACTTCGCTCTCTGGGTTTGCAGAGTCCACCATGCGGTACGCCCCCGAGCTTGTCAGGGTCGGTGTGCGGCCCCTTTGCGGTCCACAGTGTTAGCCCTTTAATGAGGTCCCTGGTCCCAAAGAGCGGGGTGCTGTTTGCCATCGGGGAACGCTAGGATGGGGACAGGATGGAAAAGCGGCAGGCAGGTTTTGCAGGTGAGGCTCATGGCCGGTCTCCCGAAAGCCCATCCCAGCGTGATGCTGGGTGAGGCTCCCCCAACACGGCCTGACGGTGAGCTTCCAGGTCGGGCAGTGTCAGGGGAGCCTGGTCTCTGCTGCGTGAGGCTGGGGACAAGAGCTGGTCTCAAAGCCTCTGAGTCCCCTGCTGGGCCTGTCCCCAGATCGTTAGGGATAAGTGGGGACACAGGAAACTGGTGTCACGTGGCTGGAGAGCCCAGTAGATCCTGTCCCGCTGGGGTGCTGGTTCCCGGGTGACCCAGCTTCTCCGGGCCCCTGTTTTCTTCTCCCCACCAGGGAGCCCCTCGGCCCAAGCTCCCCTCCCAGGCTGTCGTGGGGGGACGGTACTGGGTCTAGTTGTGCCCCCCAGAAAGATATGCCCAGGTCCCAGCCCCTGGGGCCTGTGGATGCGACCTGATTTGGAAAGAGAGTCTTTGCAGATGTGGTCAGTTAATAGGAGGTCCAGCCGGATGCGGGCGGGCCCTTACCCAGGGGCTCCGGTCCTTACGTGACAAGGGCATTGCCGTAGTCTGCTGCAGATAATAGGCACCCACGTCTTTGGCCCAAACTTTCAGGGGGGATTTTTTTTTCGTTTTACAGTATATAAATACGGAACTAGTAACACCTGTGTATAATGGGCATCCTCATCTTTCCCTAAAAAAAATTGGGCACAAAAGTGCACATTATACATGGCAAAACATGGTAACACGGAACCGAAGGCCGTGTGAGGACAGGGCAGAGAAGGGAGTGCCACAGCCGCAAGCCCAGGAAGGCTGGGAGCCCCCAGAAGCTGGTGGGAGAGGAAGAATCCTTCCCCAGAACTACTGGGGAACACACCCTCTGAGACCTTGATTTCAGGCATCTGGCCCCCAGGACAGCAAGAGGACAAATTTCCGCAGCCCCAGGAGATGGGCCCAGCGATGCTGCTGTTACTCTGGAGGGCCTGGAGCAGGTCCTCCTCGTCCGGATCCCCTGGTCTGCTCCTGCTGCACACAGGCACAGCACGCATTACAAGGACGGCTCTCTGAGCACCAAGCAAAGCCCAGTCGGCCTGGTGTGAGTCACTGCCAGCATCCGGCCCATAATTCTGTCTGCTTCCCCGCATTGCTTGGAACGAACCATCCTGCGATTTTGTGTGATGGCCAAACGTCACCAAGCCCCCAAAGCCCTCAGAGTTACCCGGGCACAGATTCAGCTGCTATGGAGAATCAACGTGGGGCTGCCCCACGCCGGCACGTGTCCCCGGGTCACCTGCCTGCAGAGTCCCACTCAGCCGTGGGCATGCGACGACGGTGAGCTTGGGCCCGAAACAGCTGTGTCCCCCTGGTGTGTGGCCCGGCTCACAGAGAGCCAGGCTCCGAGTTGTGAGTCACATGTTATTTTTACTCCTGGTTTCACGTGGCATGCTTTAAATTATTGAGTGGCTAGAAAGATCCCCCGGTGAAGTCATATTTCATTTGACTCTCCATTTGGCTGTGAAGTAAATCCATTTCTGGGCCGTCTTCATAGGCGAAGAAAGGACAGAGCAACCTGCGTTTGGCGAGAGGAGGCCCAGAGGTGCCCTGGGTCACTCTGGGCCCCTGGGCGCTGTCAGCTTCCCGTGGCCGCCATGCACCTGCGGCCGGCAGGCTTTCTGCACCGCTGGGTTTTCTGGGTGGCCCCCTTCTGGACCAGCCCCGGTGAGCCCAGCCACGCTGGCAACCCCGTAGGAGAAGCTGTCTGCCAGAGCCTCCACAGACCCAGGGCAGCATCGGGAATGTTGGGAAGGGGCTCCGGGGTCAGACTCTTCCTTCTGGTTTGCTGAGTGAGGGGCGTCGGAGGGAACCACGGTGGGCACACGCTGACCCACAGCCCACCAGCTACTCCCCTCTGTGCTGAGGGTTTCAGCATGTGCTGGGGACACTGTCTC